AAAATTATATAATTAAAATTAATGAACGAAATTAATTTTGCATTATATCGTACGTATGATGCAAACGTATGACGACATGAATCGATGAGATGAATGTATGATGGAAGGTCAATGGAATGTCGATGCAGCGAAAGGTATTTTTATTTCGAAATTTTGCAGGATTACGTATGCCATAAATATATACGTAATATATATGTATATGTAGACACGTCTATTTATGTATATATGTATGCATGTATTTACAACATGTAGAAGTGAAAGCAGTGCAGCCAAGTGAAAGTCAAATTTACTACAACATCCTTCGTCTCAGAGATCTTGACGAACGTGGTTAATCAAGGAGAGAGAAAGAGAGACAGAGAGAGAGAGAGAAAAAAAAAGATTAATGGCAACGATGATTCTCAAGAATCCTCTCATAATATCATATGACTTCTTTATGCAGTTTATTATAGTAATTGACTAACAATCATTTCGCTAAGAATATTTTAACTATAAGTAAAGAAATGAAACAAATATTTGTCGGTTTTTAATTTTTTTTCCCTGTTTTAATTGTTATTTGATGACGATAATAATAATATGAAGTTCTTATCTGATCTTGAAACTTTGCTGACCTTGCACGATAATTTCCGTATACATAAATTTACATAATGATCATTGCAACTTACATAATATATTGTACGTCATTTTATTCCTTTTTTAATCTAACAATAAGAGTTAGAATTTACGTTTCACAGATTTAAATTTAAATCGACAGGTTTAAAGAATTTACGTTTTACAGATTTAGATTGTAATAATTCCTTAATATATTTTAATTATATTTTGTATGTATATTTATTCTTTTCTATTTTAATCTTATACGTTTATTACGTTTATGTCTTTTGTTTTCTCTCTTTCTAAAAACGACAACCTTATCCTAATAATTAATTATACGATTTAATGAATATCGTTTTAAAATTCGAAATGAATTAATTATATTCAGCTGATCTATTTTCAACGAAATATCTTCTTCTTTTCGATCATATAAACAATTAAGACAATTTAGTCAAAAACTGTTCAATTATATGTTAGATGTATTATGTTTTATCGATCTCGAAACAGTCAATTAATCAGATAACCTAAACGTTTTCACGTTACGTATATCTAACAATAGTAGTATTCGATCGATTACCCGACTAATAAATTCATTGTTTTTTATTCCTTCGAGCACGGACGTATTCTCTTTCGTTTTGTTTATAAGAAAAATATCATCTTCAAAACATTCGCACATTGAACTCGAATGGAAAATCGAATATTCTACGATAATTTCATAGAGGGGAAAAAAAATGAAATGAAATAAAATAAAATAAAATAAATAAATAGAAACTAAAAAGTATATGTTAATCAACATGATTTCACTTTCACGATCGTATTTGACTCAATGATTTTAATCGATCGTTGGAAAAGTTTGCGAAAAATTTAAAGGGGACGTTAACTTGAAACGACCAGAAAAGGTCTACAAGGCCTTATCGATAATCGTAACGAACTGGTTCACAATTTTAATTGAAGCTGGTGAAAGGAAGTCGTGCGACTTAAAAAGAGACAGAAAATTATTTCGAGCGTGAATTTCTTTAAAGGAATTAGAATAAAACCGTGGAATATTAAATGAATTTTAAACGAGTCAATATGAAATTGCTATTGATACGAAAAAAAAAAAGATAACTAAATAAATAGATAAAATGAGCGTACTTATTTACTATTAAGAGTAGCCTTTTAATGATAACCGGATTTATGAAAGATACCTATATAAAACTGCGTTACGTGTAGGTAATTATATTCTCTACTATGATATTAAAGTTGAAGTGTATATTTTTTTAGTAAGCATAAATTTTTTCGATTCGTTCGATATCAGCGCAATAATGATAATCAGTATTTCAAGAAAATTGTAAATATCATAACAAATGAACATTATAGATTCTATTCTGTATGTAAACATAACGACAAGATATCTAAAATGGAAAATATTATATCGTTGTACCTATAATATAATTATAATAATGTTGTTATGAGAGAACGTATCATGTTTTCCTAAAAATAATAAAACGGCAAACGAAAATATATCAGTACTCGTTCAATGACTAGTTAAAAAAAACAAATACTCTAACTCGTTCGACTAGTTAAAAAACTAAATACTCTAGTTTCATTTGATAATGCATTCGTATTTATGTATTTAGTTAAAGAATTATCAATGATTTAGTAATTTAATTATTTTGAGTTATTGCAGGAATATACTATCATTTTTATATTTAGTGTGTGTTTATATCATCAATCGATTGATATTTACTACGATAATTTGTTTTTTCTCGGCAAATTAGTACTCAATAATTAATAATAATATTTAACAATACGTTTATTCGTAAAAAAAAGTTCTATGCTAAAATGTATATATTTTACTGTGAAAATTTATGAATTCATTGATAACAATATTACTCATATGATACTATATGTAAATATAATATATTGTACGTGGAAAACATAAAAATATGTATATATAAATATAAACATACATATATATTTCAATTTATACATATTGCAAAATACATATTAAAAATCTATAAAATTTGTCATTATCAATAATACTTTTAAATCCTACTGTACTTGTGTAACTAATGTAACTACTGTACTAATGTACTTGTTATCACCTGTATGAAACGATATATAATATATATAGATATGTAAACATAATATGCCATTCGTCCCGTGCGAATGCAAATAATAATAATAATAATAATAATAATAATAATAAAAATAATAATAATAATAATAATAATAATAATAATAATATATAAATGTTAACTTACATATATATTAAATGTATATATTAAAAATCTGTAAATTTATTACATATGTTTCGTTATCAATAAACAAAACCTTTCATATATACTAATGTAATTTTAAAAATGTAAATATAACCTTTAAATATAAAATGAAATTGTAAGAGAAAAAAAATTAAAATATTATTTTTGAACGTTTAAACAAATGTTTCTAATGTCTTAGAATATTTCAAAAGTCTATTGTCAGAGAATATGTAATAATTATACAAAAACAATAAGGACAATAACAAGAAAAATAGAAAATCTAATAGTATTTGAAATCATTGCCGATCGGTTAAAAATGTAGAAAAGAAAAATTAATAGAGAAGCGCGGGGTTAAGGCGCATTCCAAAGCGAGTCGCTGACGTCGCTGCGATCGCCAGAGGATCTCAGTGGAGCCCTACGGCTATGCACGGGGTCCGCATTCCACCTGTCAGAAGATGGGTTCCGCGCTCTCTTCTCGAATAATTAAAAAAAAAATTCGTACATAGAGAAACTTTTGAAAATTATTCGTTATTCGCTTTTTAAGATGAAAAAAAAAAAAAATAAAGGATAATATAAACGAAGTAAATAGATACGCACACGTCATTTCGAACGTAGCCATCCGAAAATCGAGCGTTCCAATATGGCAGGTGCGCCGTTCTCTTGTTTTTTCGATCTAGCGCGCGCATATATATATATATACATATACACACACACATATATATATATATATACACACATATAAACATACATACACATACACGTACCTGTAAATTCGAGGACCATTTCCTAATGTGACGATCTTCATTAGAATTTATTCACTGCCTGTTGATTTGAAGATTAACTTCGACGTGATGCTATTAGATTTAGACAGGATGAAAAATCCTTTTCTTGATCCTCCCTCTTCTTCCCTCCCTCCCTCCTGCTCCCTCTCTCTCTCTCTCCTCTCTCACTCTCTCTCTCTTTTTCTCGTTATCTGTTTATCTCTTTCGAATTCGACAGCACGCGCGAACTGGACTAATGTAAGATTATTTCGTTGGATCACTCGCGTGGCACGATCATATTTCCATCGTTCTCTTTGACCGTTCGAAAGTTAACGACACAGAACGTAATACCGTAGAAGAACTTAAGAAGTTACGAAGGGTATCGTAACTTAACGCGTCTTGAAAACAAGCGACGAGACGATTCGAACGGCGTTCACCACGGCAACATAACTGGACACCGGTTGGTAGGGGAACTGAACCGAGAAGGAACCAGTGTTAGAAGGGGATGCCGCTAGGAGGGGGTATGAGCGGAAGAACGCGAAAGGTGACGAAGGGGAGGGGGAGGCAAAGAGGGAGAAAGAGCCGACGGACCAGGAAGGAGGATGGCCGATAGGCGTCAACTTCCAGTGTATATATATATATATATATATATGTACACATATACAATATATAAATACTTCCAATACCATACATATTGTATATACGGATCTGACTTATATGGACATTCAAGCATAATTGAAATATCCTCATTGCTCCCCTTTAGTTGCCATATATATATATATATATATATATATATATATACGCATACATACGCATAGATAAACAAACATATATACACAAACTATATAAATCCTTTTTTCATTTCAAAATATTGTTTTCCCTTATGAGATCGCATTTATCATCTACATGTGTATGTGTGTGTATATATATATATATGTATGTATGTATGTTGAGTAAAGATGTCCTTGGAAAAAAATATTTGTTTTTAAGAAAAAAAATATATTATTCGAAATAAAACGTATTGGTAAATTACAAATTAAAGTTATGATAAATTCCAAATTTGTTATAGATTATAAGTAATATGATAATTTGATGAAATTATCGCGAAAAGAAATATTTTTTCTTTCTATAAAAAAAATATTATATCGGTATATTAATTCATCTGTATTATATATAAGCGATGAATTAAATCTATATAACAAAATTGTAAGGTCAAGTATTATTATCAGACATCGATAATTTCTCGGTAAATTCTTTTTTTGTTTGTTTGTTTCTTTTTTTTCTTTTTTTTTCTTTAAGTGATTAGATTTATCGCATCAACTAAGACAATTTTTCTAACCTCATATCGATAAAACTATCTCTGCTTCATTGAGGAGATCCCCTGGTATATGTACATACGGATGTACTTGAGAACATTTCGTATATGCTTACGTTCTTTCTAACGAGAAAAATTAATAAACCGACGAAAGATAATTTATCGAAAGTGGATTAGTTAATTAATGGCGAATTATAAAGTCGTCTCTTCAACGAATAAATTCTGTTATCTTCGATGAATCATACAAACAAAATCTTCGACATATATCTAGATCCTTTTTCAAATGTAATTGTAGTAGATAATTTAAGGTGTATATGCACAGCGAAAACAATAAAGAATGATAAACAATAGAACGGATCAAGTGTAAATAAAGTGAACGTCGAAAAATTACTATTATTTAACTTGCTTGATATTCGTCCTTGATAGTCAAAGAAGTGTTTAAATGGTCATCATCGAGTGTACCATAAGATTACATAATAATTCCTTTTGAGATTGGGGTCAGTCATCATACTAAAGTCGTCGAGCTTATATGTACATTTACATTATGTGTTGTGTGTGTGTGTGTTTGTGTGTGTGTGTGTGTTTGTGTGTGTGTGTGTTTCTACACCTTTAGTATACCTACTACATATCAGACAATAACGAATAAAAAGAAAAACATTTCTAATTACGTATTACTTTATTATTTTTCAATTATATTTAGGATATATGTATAATGATATATGTATAATGATTATATTTGATATATATGTGTTAATTGATTATTTTGAAATCATAACCTTAAAAAATTGTATAGAAATTCGATGGAAAATCAGATAAACAATTAATCAAATAAAATTCTTTTATACGATGGAAAATTGTAAATACGAATAATGATAAACGATTGACGAGTTTATTTCTTTATAATAAACTTCAATTGTCGACACCTTGTATTTTAAGTACTTATTAATATAACACGTACGCCGTAGCGTAGTTTGTCTTCGCCCATGTGCCGCATTCAGTCGTACGTAGTTTATTACGTATATAATTAATTAAACAGATGTTCCAATTGTGGAGATTAATTAATTTATTGTGCTATTAAGTGATCCTTAATGCAGTCTTGTATCCTATTAATATTTCTTTTAATTCGTTTGTAAAGAATTGTATTAATAACGTGTAAGTTTATGCGAAGTAATGCGCGAGTTTCTGTGAAGAAAAAATTTTATATAAAATGGCAAATTTTATAGAGTTATTAAATTTTTTTCAACAAGATGATAAACAATATAATGCATTTTTGAAAGATTTATTAACATTTGACGATGATATACCGTTTAAAACAGAAGAGGTAAAAATTTGTTGACCTAACCTCTTTATTTCATGCCTCTTTGGAATTATCGAAGAATAATCTACGAATTGTTTTAATAACGTGTTATTGTTTGTACTTTTTAGATAAATACGATAAATAATGCTATTATATCGACGATTAATATTCAATTAAATCAAACTAATACTCGATATAATGGTTTGTTTCTTTTAAATGCATATTTACCAAAATGTTCAAAAGATACATTGTTAAAGTATGGTATATTGTGGATAACAAAAGCTACTCAAGTAGTGGAAAATATTTACAGTAATCCTAAACATCTGACGATAGCTTGTAAAGTTATTGGAAATTTAATTACACAATGTAAGACTATTCCAGAATTACACAAGCAAATATCAATGCAAAATGTTAAACAACTTTTAAGTATTTTGGATAATCTGGAAACTATGACAATTTATGGGGCTACGTATTATCTACTTGCTACTTTATTATATCATTATCCTGAAGTTTGTGAACGATTTCAGGTGGGTATTTATTATTTAAAAAAAAATTTTCAAATAATATAAAATCTATTTTAATCTTTATTTGTTATCTCAGATATTAATTAGAAAGATGATACTCCTTCTAGTAGATGCTTCTCAAGCTAATTTAGCTGAAGCTGGAGCAAAATGTTTTGCTCTTTTAGTTAGAGCAACAGAGCGTACTTTTAAACCACCTCAGACAAAGCCGTTTTATACATGTTGGACATATAATCAAGCATTAATCTGCAACAGTTTGCATGATATAATGGATAATCTTTTTTCTAATTTATTAGAAATCGAAAGTGTAGATATTTGGGATAAATTGGAATTATCGAGTATATCAGAAGAAAATATAGTAGAGTATTATTCTAAACAAAAACAAAGGTTTACGAACTTATGTATATACTTATGTACTATGTTACGGTAAGAATTTAATAATTAGAAAAAAAGCATTTCTCTTTTTATGTTCTGTTAAAAATATGTTTTTTTACAGTGGATGCGAAGAGAAAAATTCTGTATTACCCGATGATATTCTAAGAATATTATGTCGAGGTTTAGCTATTAGACCTATGAATTTGAGAAGACAAAATTCTTTTAAAGAACAGATATTATATCTTATTCTTCCCAAGTTACATATTAGTTTATTCAATGTTTTAAGTGCTCTTATAGAGGGGTAAGTATATAATACATATGACATTATGTTGAACTAAAAAGTAAAGAGCAAAAAAGTAATATTTCTATTTCTAGCTTCAAAAAAGAATTAATACCATTTGGTTCAACGATTTTACAATTATTTCATCAAGCATTAAAATGGTCGGGGAATGTGTTAGAAGATCAAGAAACAATTGCTAGTAGTAAACCATTTAAAAATATAAGATTGTCTGTATACAAATGTCTCTCATTATGGTTAATAACTAACAACTCGTTATCAGGCATTGAAACAATCATAGATGAATCTCTTTCTTCTATACTTAGAGACATAATTCCAGAAAGAGATCGTGTAGTTCTGACTGTAAATTGTTTTCTTTAAATTCATAGAAATCGTTTTAAACTATTATGTATGATAAATATAAATATTTAATACAAATTTGAATATTTCACATAGGCTCAAAATGCAACAAAAAATTTATCGAAGAAAGCCTTGAAACGTTTTAGAGACAGTCAATATGAAAAAAATTCGGCTTTAAATAATACAGTTGCAACTAAGAAAAATCTATATTTGGATGCAGATTTATGTATAGAAGCTCTTATGACTTTACAAAATATTTTATTTAGTACTAGTACTTGCTTGAAAACAACACTTTACACAGTAAGATTAAGTGATAAATATTATTGAATATTGTTATTATAAATGTTATAGTTAACTGTTTATAATTATGATATTGACTATGTATAATATTATGATATTATCTTTATTTTAGAACATACAAAGTGTTGTTATTCCACTTTTGTATAAATATTATCTTGGCTCACCTACAGAGACTTTCTATAAGGAAAGAGCAGAATGCCGTTTACAACTGTTAAAAATATTGAAAGATTTGCAATTAAATCCACATGAATCGTCTGCATCTTCAACGCAACATGCTATACAAATTTTCGAAATGGCTCTTAATGATTCTGATTTACATATTGTTCAGGAAGCTCGATGTGCATTATCAGAATTAGAAAAAATTATACATCCTCTTGCACCAACTTTATCTTTACCTAGAACTGAGTAATTTTAAACAAAAACTTATATTTGTTTACTATATTACAATTACAGAAATTTTTTATAAACAATTTATTCTTTTTTTAGGGAAATATCAAATGAACGTGATGAAATTTGTACTACTGTGTCGAACGAACAAGAAAATATATCAAATGAAGAATTTGCACCACCATCGAACAAGCGATCAAAAGTAATAAGTATTGTTACATTAAATTCTGACGAGAGAGTGCATTTAGATTCAGGAGATAATGTTACAGCTAAAGTAATAGAAAAATCAACAAGTATAGATTCTTCTAAATTAGAAGATAGCTCTTTACAAAAAAGCAAATGTATTGTAAATGAAGTATCATTTATAGAAGAAAGAAATAATGAAAAAGATGCTGAAGCTGAATTGCATAATAGTTTACGAATAGACCAAATGCCTGATGAAATAGAAGATAAACAATTAGAGAACATGGAGATAAAATCAACAGAATTGGATGTCGAAGAAATTTCTGAGATAGATCATCCTACCAATCTTCAACAAAGAGATAACAATTTGGAAACTTTGGAAGAGAAGGAGGATGTATTAATGGATGACGAAAAACAGATGTTACTCACTTTTCATGACCAACTAAAAGATAATTAAATACGATTTTACAAAAGTATTTTTTAATTTCTATAAATAAACATTGTTGTTTATATAATATCAATTTTTTTATTATAATCATGTATCATACAAATGATTTATGATAAATTGTTAGTTTTACCCAAAAGTTGGTTTCATTTTGGGAACAATATTGTTAATATTTTTAATATTTTTAATGGGTTTTTCTATTACATTTTTAGCATCTGTGCCAACATTATTTACTACTTGAGATGTAGATTTAAATAAACTACAAGCTGGTGATTGTAATCGTCCAGAAAGGCCAGTCCATAAACCCATTTCACAGTATCTAATAATAATAGAAATAATAATTAACGAATACGATTTTTATGAATACTATTGTATTGGTCGAATTTCAATGGAATCATACCTAAAATTTTCCATCATTTTTGGTACAGAATTAATACTAACGAAGGAATTGCTTTCAGAAAAATTTGGCACAATTTTTGGTAACCAAGTATTGTTTTTCAATTGAATTGATATATCTAGTTTACCGGTTCTTGCAAAATTTGAGATCATGCCTGTGAATATTTCTGTTACATGTTCATCTATCTCATTTGTTTTATCTATGGCACTTTTTATTTTTTCACCGACTATATTGTTACGATCAAAAATGTATCCCAAATCATCCCCATGATTTATACCTGTAAAGTATATATCCTTTGGCTCATTTAAATTGATTATTTCAATAATGTCTGTTATCATTTATTTTTTTTTTTTTTATAAATAGTACCTTTTAAACTTTGTTTTGCGTCGACAATAGGTAATCCTGAGAGAAAATCTTTACTGTAACATCGTTCGCCGTCATAATCGAAACTATATAAAAATGCTTTAGCCTTTTTAGACCAATGTTCTACCGTAAGAAAAATAGGTGCATTGAACAAAGAATCACCCATAGCTTCTGCGATTTTTTTCATTTTATTAATTTTATTACTTTGAAAAATATTGAAATACTTTTCAAAAACTTCTGGAGCGAATTTCGTCGTATTTCTAATGTTTGGAATGGTTTTCTGTAGTGATGGAATTAGATCTTTAGATAAATAATTTGGAATTGTTCGTAATTTGTCTTCCAATTCATTTTTATAATCGCCAAATATTGCACCACCAATTTCATCCTTCACTATTCCTATTAGCAAAGGAATATTCGGAAAATTGCCAAACTTCAATGATTTTTCTGGTGTTTCGGTAATTAGATTTGGAAGTGATCTTTGCGAAAATATTAAAAATTGTATAGTTGTAATAAAAGTCTTTCTTTCTTTTCTTATTTTTGTTGATGGATTTTAAGAAAGTATAGAAAAAAAATTTACCTTTCATCGTCACTGCCTTCGATAACAGGACCAGCGGTTAACAAAGTGGATATACTTGATACGACACCTGACACAGTTCGAGTATATTCCAATCTAGAATCGACTTCTATTAATTTGTCAATCGATAATTCTCGAAGACATTGTACCATTTCTTTTGTATCATTCGTTGGACATCCATTGTTATAACCAATATATTTAGCTGTATTTAATGGATCTTTGTCGATCGCGAAATGCGATAAAATCGTACCGGACATAGCAATTACACCATTAAAAATACCTATGAAACAAATTGTACAAATATACGAATTTTTATATCAGATAAAAAAATATTCCTGAAATGTTTATACCTGATGATAATTTCGAGAGTGTAAGTATAAGAGCCGAAATTGCACCTGTTCCATGACCAAATGCTATAATTTTACGTGGATTTCCACCAAAAAATTCTATATAATCTTTAATCCAATTAACAGCCAATATCATATCAAATAATCCATTATTTCCAGGTAGATCTTTCGTCCCGGTACTTAAAAATCCTGTATCATAAAAATCGACAAATACAAGAAAGTCAAAATATAATTAATCTCGTTTATCATAAATTGATATTTCTATAATATGATTCAATCACCTAAAGAACCTAATCTGTATTGTATAGATACGACGATTATTTTCTTTTTAATAAGATGTTTCATTTCGTATTGACATGCCGATCCTCTTTTAAAACCTCCTCCATGTATCCAAATTAATACTGGATATCCTTCACTGGCATCCGGAAGTACTGGTGTAAAAATATTTAAAAATAAACAATCCTCTGAGCCAATAATTTCTTTTGATTTATGGCCATTTATTTGAGGACAAGGAGCACCCCATGTCGTAGCATTTAAATCGCCCGCCAAATTAGCAGCCTTGGGTCTCTATAAGAAAAAAAAAAAAAAAAAAAAAAAAGGATATTTATATTATTCCTTTTATTTATTTTTTTCCCCGTACATCGTATATCATTCTTCGTAATTATAAGTTCATTCTTTGAAATGATGATAATAATAAATTTTTTCATATCTTAAATTGATCTATATTTAACGATTTTTATTTTTATAATCGCAATAGTTTTCTTAGATCTTTTTGAAGTTATGTGAAAAAAAAATTAACTTATTAGAGAATACTATTTAGTAACATGATCGAGTAGGTCAATGGAATTTCATTAACGCGTTAGCAACATGTGAATTTTATTATCATTGATTATATCGATCCATAAAGACAATGACTTTACATACTTGGAAACGATGTAGACCAATTGGCGGTTCAGCATATCTAATACCTCGAAATGAATAATATCCACTATTCTGTTCCCGTATCCCAAGTATACGTGCATCTCGTCCATTTTTATTAACAAATACAACAGGATCGTCTATCGGAGGCTCTGCTGCTGCACTACCACCAATAATCCTTTTTTGCCTTCGCAGAGATTTCGATGATGTTATTAATAAGCTCAAAATTACGAGGAGAATCGAAATACGTCCGTTCATTTTGAATACCTGTTTTTGAATAAATCGAATTCAATTAACTTCCGGTCATAATCACCGCCCATCGTGACGTATAACTTTCGTCATGTCGAATTAATAGATTAAATAAATAATATTTATCATAGTATTTGTTAGAAGTAATTATGGTCACAAATTTAATTCTCATTTTTACATTCTATATAACGTTCAATATTCATTATTATATTTTCAAAATATGAAGATTTTCGCGCGCTTTTGAATTAGATCCGAACGCCAGTTGTGGTACAGTTCCGTTTATATTTGGCATCTGTCCCTTAGGTATGTGGTTTTTCTGTCTTCGCTTATGAAATCCAATTTGATTAATTAAATTAATATGCATCTGTTTATAAATAAGTTACATTTGATTGTATTTAAGTATTTTGCATGTACTGTGTTAAATATTTTTTTTTTTCCAATTATATCTAAAGAAGGATTGGGTTAAAGAATATAATGATTTGAGGTTAGGTCGTTTTAATACTTAACGTAACGTGATGTTCGTTGTATACATATGCTTTTATGTAAAATATATTTTTATTTTCTTTAGATTTTGAACCATGGGTCGAGTAATTCGTGCTCAACGTAAGGGAGCTGGATCTGTATTCAGATCTCATACAAAAAGAAGGAAGGGAGCACCGAAACTTCGTTCTTTAGACTTCTCTGAGAGACATGGATACATCAAGGGTGTTGTTAAAGTTAGTATTTTATTTCTTACCAATTTTACTTTTTCATATATTCGATATTATAAGTTTCATCAAACATACGTTTTGTTTGGTTAAATGTATCTAATTTTAAAGTTACTGTAATGATGATTTCTAGTATACCTACTCCTGAATGTGAATGAAGATTTAATACTAGAGGCTCTTTCTGAAGATTTATTTATATAGTTTTAAATTAATCGTATAAAATGGTATCAGTGATTTTTAAGTATTATTTTTTTGATCTTAGGATATCATTCACGATCCTGGTCGTGGTGCTCCTCTAGCTGTTGTTCACTTCCGTGATCCTTATAAATTCAAAACACGAAAAGAATTATTCATTGCACCAGAAGGAATGTATACAGGACAATTCTTGTATTGTGGAAAGAAAGGTTCAAAAATTTCTTTTTTTTTGTCTCGCATTTGCTATTGTATATTACATTTTATTTATATTTTACAGCTACCTTACAAATAGGTAATGTTATGCCTGTCGGCACAATGCCTGAAGGTACGATCGTTTGTAATTTAGAAGAAAAAACTGGTGATAGAGGTCGTCTGGCTAGAGCTTCTGGTAACTATGCCACAGTGATTGCACATAATCCAGACACCAAGAAAACTAGAGTAAAGCTACCTTCTGGTGCCAAGAAAGTCATTCCCTCGAATAATAGGGCAATGGTTGGTATTGTTGCCGGTGGTGGCCGCATAGATAAGCCTATTTTGAAAGCAGGTCGTGCTTATCATAAATATAAGGTCAAGAGGAATTGCTGGCCTAAGGTACGATTCTTTGTAATATTTGTGGAATTTTTTTTTTCTATGCACATATATATTCCAATGATGCCGTTTAGACATTTGAAACCTGATATAATGAATAATTTGTGGATAAATTTTGACTGATTTCTATCGATTGAAGAAAGAAATTAATTTATATATATTTGAAATATTTTAATCATATACAATAATACCTTTAGGTTCGTGGTGTTGCTATGAATCCTGTTGAGCATCCTCATGGTGGTGGTAACCATCAACACATAGGTAAAGCTTCTACTGTCAAACGTGGAACCAGTGCTGGTCGTAAGATTGGTCTTATTGCTGCTCGTCGTACAGGAAGAATAAGAGGAGGAAAAACAGATACCAAGAAGGATGATTAAATTCAGCATTTTATGCGTCTTGACTTATATATTATACAAAACAAAATAATACATATGTATAATTTTTATTACATATGTAATAAAAAACAAAAAGACAGAAAAGAGATTGTAACTTAATAATTTTTTGTTGATATCAACCTACTGTGCTATATACATGTGTACATACACGCACACATACATACATACACACACATATATATATATATATGTGTATATAAATATATATGAACATACGTATGTACCAAATTTTATCTATATCCTTTAATATTATTTTTTATCGCCAGTCAAAATGACTTTGTATATTTTTTTTGGGTAAGATTTAAAGTTCGTTTTCATGAATTGATTGTACTAATGGTTGATAAGAAACATTTAAAATTTAGATTTCTCCGATATTACGAATATATAATAGTAAAAATATGTTCGTTTCATTAATATTTCATATAATTATAAAGTTTAATTTAATTTCAATATAATCGAATGTGAATAAGAATTAATTATAACGATCATAAGAAACGTGTGGAATCGGAATGTTCCTTTTTCAGGAAGTGTAACATCCGGCGGATATAAAGATTACGCCATGTTACTGTCTATATCTCGCGTTTCTCGGCCATTTTTGTTGCGTCGACGTCAAGTGTGGCCAGGGGCCTCTCTCTCTTCGTAGCAGTCAGTCTTCAAGCATCGTTTGTATCAGAGTATAGCGTCAGACGGATACCGGTATTACGACCGTTCGGATCGACGACCGAGTTTCGTTCGCAGATTGGCGTACAATAAGTAAGAAAAAGTAAAATATAAGAAAACGAGAACGTTGAACTTTTTTGGCACGGTGAGAGAGATACGACTAGGGGAGAGTGAGCTACACGAGAATCTACGGCAGAGCTACGAAAACTACGCACCGAGGCGGAGTAATATGAGTAATGCAGCCAACCAGAATGGATCAGGTCTAGAGCAGCAGGTAAAAAGAATTGTTATTATAAGAAGTGTATTTCTAATATCTCATGCTGACAATTTTTCTCTCTCTCTCTCTCTCTCTCTCTCTCTCTTTTCTCTCTCTCTCTCTCTTTCGAGCTTTCTTCTCTTCTCTTTCCCCCTCCCCTTCTCCTTCTCCTTTTACCCTTTCCTCTCTTTTTTATACTTCCATTTCATACACGTTGCATTTACCCTGTATCATTCTAATCTTTTTTTTTTTTTTTTGTTTTTTTATTCATCTTTACGATGTTATTATGGACTTAGAATCTAGGCGTTACAGAATATCAAAAGACATGCGCAAAAATCTTAGCTTTGGTATCTCTTTGTTCGGTCGGACACTTAAGAACGCTGATGGCTCGACTCTGAACCAGTTCGTGACGTATGGTTTTATAATGGCGGCAACCAATTCCGGGAACAGCATGCCTCGTGCCATGACGCACGCCATATACCGCTTTTTTTCTTTTCTTTTCTTCTCTTCTCTTATCCCTTTATAAAATCTTACCTTATGAGAAACTATAAACATCGTGATTTTTTGCATCATCGATGTTTTTTCGTCGTTGTACTACGTTCGAAATATCTATTGCTTCCTGCCTCGATTATTTTTCGAACGAGTGAAGACAATGCGAAATAGCGACTTCACTATTAGATGCTTAATCGTAAAGTCATAAGGCTATGGCGCATATTTCACTAATCGCTCAAATTCACTTGATATCGAAGGAAAAATGTCGATATTCATGCTCTTTTCATTCATTTCAAGTGTTTTTAACATTGATCTGTATTTTTCTAATTAATATGATGTTAGAAAATATCACTGAAAGGTACTCAATTTGTTGAGAAAATATATATATATATATGTACGTATGTATGTATATATGTATGTATGTATGTATGTATGTATGTATGTATGTATGTATGTATGTATGTATATATACATGGATCAAAGAAACTGATTATTTTCTTTTTGCAACAGTTAGCTGGTCTGGACTTGCAGGGTTCTCGCCAACCAAGTGGGGGTCGCTACGTTCCACCCCATCTGCGTAATAAATCTGCAAGTAAGCATTGAAAAATTTTATATCATTGATTTAGAGAATGAAATAAGTCATAAAATTTTACAGAATTTTATAAATATTCTATTATAAAATTTAATGTATTATATTATAATATTTTATATTGTAATTTTAGGTAGCGCACCGTCAAGCGGTGATCAACATTCCAGTTCAAACTCTCGGCCACTTTATTCTGATAGAGACAGGGGTGGAGATCGGGATAGAGACCGAGAAAGAGAGAGAGATAGGGATAGGGGCAGAGCAGGGCCAGGGTTTAGAGATTCGCGTAGTGTACGCGACGTCGATTTTGGAAACTTTGGCAACTTTGGTGGACGTAATAGACGTACCCCAAATCAAGAAAATGGAAGAGATTATAGATATTCAAATTCCGACCGTGATCGCCCGATTAGTTCCGGCAATGATCGGTGGCAGGAACAACCTAGAAATGATCGCTGGCAAGAGAGTAGAAACGACCACAGAATGGGAAGCGGTGGTGGTCGATGGAAGGATGACAGAGATGGAGGTAGAGGAGGAGGCAGAAACGAAATCGATTGGACGATTCCCACAACTAGAGATGAGCGATTGGAGGTGGAATTATTTGGTACTGGTAATACTGGTATCAATTTTAGTAAATACGAGGATATACCAGTTGAGGCTACTGGCGATGACATACCACCACACATCACATCGGTTGGTATAATTAAGCGAATATTTCAACGTTGACTTTCAATAAAAACGTATATTGTTTATATTTCAGTTTATATTTCATAATAACGTGTATTGTTTATATTTCAGTTTGATGAGGTTAAGCTGACGGAGATAATAAAAAACAGCATTACCTTGGCAGGTTATGATAAGCCTACACCAGTTCAAAAATACGCTATTCCGATTATAATCGGACGGCGCGATGTGATGGCCTGTGCCCAAACAGGGTCTGGTAAAACAGCGGCCTTTTTAGTGCCAATATTAAATCAGATTTATGAGAGTGGACCCCAAGCGATACCACCGCAGGGCAGTTCTGGAAGGCGTAAGCAATATCCATTAGGTCTTGTGTTAGCACCAACGAGAGAACTCGCTACACAAATCTATGACGAAGCGCGTAAGTTCGCGTACAGATCGCGTATGCGACCTGCTGTAGTTTATGGTGGCTCAAATATAGTGGATCAAATGCGAGAATTAGATCGAGGTTGTCATTTACTTGTTGCGACTCCTGGTCGTCTTGCAGACATGCTTGGCCGTGGTAAAATCGGCTTAAACAATTGCAGGTAAATTTTTTCTTAATCCTTTTTCTTTCTTTGCTATTTCCTATATTAATTTTATCACGAAATCTTACTGTGAGATCTTTACAGCAACGTAAACAAAAACGTCGACATTATTATTTTAGATATTTGGTATTGGACGAAGCTGATCGTATGTTAGACATGGGTTTCGAACCGCAGATAAGAAGAATCGTTGAAGAGGATACGATGCCACCAACAGGAGAAAGACAAACTCTTATGTTCTCTGCTACGTTTCCAAAGGAGATACAGATATTAGCACGAGACTTTTTAAGCAATTATATATTCTTAGCAGTTGGTCGTGTTGGTTCTACGTCTGAAAATATAACACAAAAGATTGTATGGGTCGAGGAACAAGATAAACGCTCGTATCTTCTCGACCTTTTGCAAGCTAGCAGATTTTCAGATCCTTGTGAGTTTAATAATACATCAATCTTACTTTTTTTTTTTAATAAATTTTAATATTATTTTTAACAAATTTCTATATTATGTTTATGTCGTTCCTTAATATTTTAGCCGCACTAACATTGGTGTTCGTTGAAACAAAGAAAGGAGCAGACATGCTCGAAGAATATTTACATACGATGGGATATCCAGTAACCAGCATTCATGGCGACAGAACTCAGCGAGAACGTGAAGACGCGTTGCGTCGATTCCGTGCTGGAAAAGCGCCAATACTTGTTGCTACAGCTGTTGCTGCTCGTGGTCTTGATATTCCTCACGTTAAGCACGTTATTAATTTCGATTTACCAGGTGACGTTGAGGAGTATGTTCATCGTATCGGTCGTACAGGACGTATGGGGAACTTAGGTTCGTTCATTATTTCTCATTAATATCTCATTAATATGAATTATTCAATTATTTAAAATCTATGATTTACAAAAATCGATTTTTCTCATTATACTTATAGGTTTGGCAACATCATTCTTTAATAACAAGAACCATAATCTTGTACGAGAATTGGTATCTCTACTTGTCGAAGCTAATCAAGAGCTCCCACCTTGGCTCGAAGATCTATTTGCGGAAGTACGTTATTCCAGTGGTTGTTCTCGTCGTCCGGGTAGTACCAAAGGACGTTTCAGCGGTGGTTTCGGTGCTCGTGATTATCGCCAGCAACCGAGTGGTGGTTCTACACGCAATAATGGCCCTTCCAGTAGGCCAGGTAGTTATGGAGGTAAGATCAATTTCTTTTCTTTTTTTCTTTTTCTTTTTCTTTTTTTTTTTCTTTTTTTTTCACATCCCCCCCTACAAATTTTATTCTCTTCTTTCTACTACATTTAAAGAACGAGTGTTTGTTTTATTGCACGAGTCTTAACGTACGAATACCAGACTCGTTTGGATCGATCGTATTCATACGAATAATCTATCAATAAAAAATTGATTCGTTCGACTTTTCGAGTCTGTGTATTTTCCCAGATTTTCTAATTTAAATAAAATATTGTTTACAATGCCATTAAATTTTCCAGGCGGTTACGGAGGAGGGTATGGAGGGAATTATAATTCGTCATACAACAATACTGCTAACAGTAGCGGTAATGATCCTGATTGGTGGGGAGGATGGGACAAGTCATAAATCATTATCGCCATCTCTATTTCCACTTCTACCATTATTATTCTACACGCAAATTCAATTATATGTAAGGAAGACACGTACGACATACACATCCAATATAACGAGCACACGTTACTACGACGAACGCGTGCGTATATTCTCGCGTATGTTATATGCATATACACATATATATATATATACATATATATATACATACGTATATATACATATATACATATATCAAAGGACAGACAGTATATCGCGTATAATCCATTCACGTTTGCTGACTGCCTGTGCACTCCAGTTTCCGAAGAAAAAAAAAAAGGAAAAAAAGGACCCCGAGCAAACTATGTTGATTGATTTCCACAATTACACATTACAGGCACATACATACATACATACATACATACATACATACATACATACACACATACACACACACACACTTACACACAGCAGACAGATAGACATACATTTATTCGTGCGCGTTCTCGTGTCTTAACAAATCCTCGGTAACCGATGTAAGAAGACTATATTTTGTCATCGGATGTCAAAGAGATAAATGCCGGTGCACACATAATTTCTAGAAATAATTAGATAAAATCTCTGAATGATCTCGGACGAAGAAATATATAATATCAAGATATCCGCAACAAGTGTGTAGGATTTGTTAAGCGCTAGTTAGAAATCCAGCCAACGTCTCGTTGCTATTGCGCGTCGACGAATACAAGTAGTATCTAATCACTAATAAATCAAATCGATTGGTCGTTAATGCCTGTTCCGAAGGTAACAATGTAATACTACATAGTAGATGAAGAAACTTAGTAAAATTTTTTAGAACTCCTGTCGAGACTACGGGGCTCATTGTAGCTTTATTATTTCAATTCTTTGAGAGAGCGAAAGAGAGAGAGAGAGAGAGAGAGAGAGAAAGAAAGAGAGAGAAAGTGAGAGAGAGAGAGAGAGAGAGAGAGAGAGAGAGAGAGGGAGAGAGAGAGAAAGAAAGAAAGAGACATGGTGGTGAATGAGAATATTTGTCGATAGACGCATAGAGAATACGAGCACGATTGATCGTTGAGATACGCTCAATATGAATGAAGATGACTTTTCTCAAAGATCAACTGCTCGTATCATTTAGTTTCGGTGTACTGGCATTACTTTTGATTACCAAAATGTTTATCTCTGGCGCCTGTGGTACGTCCAGCCATTATCGCCATATATCTCATGATGATTACTTTATTATTTTCTTTTGATTTCTTTTTTTCTTATATGTATATATATATGTATATGTATATGTATATGTATATGTATATGTATATGTATATGTATATGTATATGTATATGTATATGTATATGATATGTATATGTATATTTCTTTTTATTTTTTCCTTTTCGAACATAATATAACTCAGCAACGAATGGTACTTTGTTGTTTTGCCGTCCCCAGAGACAGACTACGTTGTGCCGGCAATATCACGGTTTTAATCGAATAAGCCACGTGAAGTTTTTCTGGGAATCGAGAAACTCGAGTCCGGGAAAGAATAAATAAGTAAATAAATAATAGGGTACGTCTTGAGATACCTTTAGAAATCTCATTTCTATAATATATATGTATGTACATTTTATCAAGTAACTTCTCTCGTTAGTTGTTTCTATACGCGTAGAGGAGAAGTATGGAAGTAATATTTTGTAAAATGATTTTTCGATCTGTAGAATTTCTTTTTCTTTTTTCTTTTTCTTTTTTCTTCTTTTTTTCTTTTTTTTTTTAATTTTTTTTTCTCTTTTTTTTTTTTTATTTTTTTATTTTTTCCTCTTTTCTCCCTAGTATACCTCTTTTTCATTGTTATTTTAAACGAAAGAATTATTCTTAATGTGTGCTTTGATAAGGGGAAATTAAAAAACCTCCCCGCTCCTCCTCTAACAAACAAACAAACAAAAAAAAAATAAAAAAAAAAAAAATATAAAAAACATGGTATATCCATTGTACCATGTGTACATGAATTTTAACATATTCCTACGAATCATTTCTAAACGTAACGAAGACGTTGCCCCATGAGGAAAAAACTGGTACGGTGTGTTATACAAAATGTTAAACTATAATATGATACTGGTTGCGAAAGAGAGCGAGCGAGAGCGAGAGCGAGAGCGAGAGAGAGAGAGAGAGAGAGAGAGAGAGAGAGAGAGAGAGAGAGAGAGAGAAAGCGCTTTATATGAGAAAAATAAAGAACACTCTAAGGCGGGTAAAATAAAAATACGGTTGCAGTTACAGGGGTGGGGTTTATAGATAGAGATAGAGATAGACATAGAAAGAAAGAAGAAGGAAGCAAAAGAAATGGGGGAGAGAGAAAGAGAGAGAGCATAACAAAAATGAATGCACTGCTGGTTTAGCTGAGCTCGAGAAAAAAAGGAGCAGTAAGCCCCTTAATTTAAAGAGGCACAAGAGACGCACTCATAATACCTATTTTATAACTATATTTATCAGTACGATAACGCGCTATATATTATACATACTAAGTACTATTCGTAAGTACATAACATTATAAAATAATTGAAAAACGACTGTGATATCGAACGATCTTGTGACATTCAATTTCCAAGTGAATTGAAAGAAAAGAAAAAAAAAATAAACGTGAGAAAGAGAGAGAGAGAGAGAGAGAGCGAACGAGCGAGAGAGAGTGAGAGAGAGAAAGAAAGAAAGAATGAGAAAGAGAGAAAGAAAACGAGAAACCATTAATGAAAATACAAATATTAAATGTATTAATTTATCGGTATTGAATGTCGGGAATGTATAGCTCGATGTGTTGTTCGAGCTGTAAAGTTGGAATATTAAGTCGTTACACTAATAACACGAAGAATAACAAATGGCTGTTGTCCGATTGGGGGAGGGCTGAACGCTAGCTCTTGCGGTCCCAAAGAGAGATGTATTTTGGGACATTGTTTCTACTTAAAGTAAATCGCGCATTAATATGATAGATAGTCAATGACACGTGTCGTGTCGTTATTCAGCGTGAATGAAGACGACTACGACGACGATTAAGACGATGACTACGATGACGACGACGATGACAATGACAACAACGATGACAATGACAACAACAACGATGACGATGACGATGACAACGATGACGGGATATAATATGATCGTTGGTAGGGCTTTATAGATTATCGATATCTTTTGTGCAAACACGTCGGATTCTTACCTAATCCATGTAAGAAAAAGTACAAATTCGATTTGCGTGACAACTGACAGGATTTTTAGACATGTCATACTTATACTTGTTATATTAATAGATTTATATAGTGCAATCGCGTGCGTGAATCGTATGCCGTGTGACCGTGGACCAAGGTGTGAATGCCTCCATGTGCGAGGGAACGATGATTATTTCAAGTAGAACTTTTCTCATAGTCTTTACGAATAATTCTTGGCTTCCGACCATATATATATATATATATATATGTATATATATGGTACAAGTGATTTCAAATTTCTCTAATAAGATTCGTCTCATTGAGTATAACATATACGTATGTGTGTATGTGTGTATGTGTATATATATATATATATATATATATATGTATACACCCTCATACACACACACATCCGTATATGTATATATATTATATATACATATATTACATTTGTCAGTTCGGATGCCCTGCCAAGAAGTTTTTAAAAGAGGATAAGAAAATCCTCGCGTTAAAGAAAAAAAAAAAACAAAAAAAAAAAAAAGAAAAAAAAAAAGAAGAAAGCGATCTATACGTATATTATATGTCGCTTTAAAATAATTTTTACGACCCAATGGAGTTGATAGTTTTGATTTAGTTCTATGTTTTTCTTACTTTCTCTTTTTTTTTTTTTTTTCTTTTTTTTCCCCCTTTTTTTCTTTCTTTCTTTCCTTTCTTTATTTTCTATTATATTATCTTTTTCTTAATTTTAATAATCGTAGGATTTTATCGCTACCACCGTCGTAATTAACTCAATCGTTAAGCCTATCAATTATTTCATTTTATCGCTTTTTCAGACGTTATCACGCAAGGCCTTTATTACGCCTGATAAATTCTAAATTTTTAAAGAAAAATATAGTACAGTACGTTGTTTTACTTGGCGAGGGAAAGAATCCCATTGGAATTTATTATCCTGAATATATTTAACGTATATAAAGTACGTGTATTTATGTTGGAAACATTAGAAATATAAATAATTCGTATTAAATTTATGTTTACATATTTATATGATTAATCAGTAATATCGAAGATAAAGAAAGAGAGAGATAGAAAGAAAGAAAAAAAGTTGCGGCTAAACTTTTTGACTGCCATATATATATATATATAAATAAAAAAAAAAAAAAAATAAAAAAAAAAAAAGAAGAAACCCAAGACAAAAAAGAAAAAGATCAAAGAAAACGCGCTAATCTTCTAAATATACTTATTGTACAATATATTCATGTGATTATCATGTGATTACCATGCGCTCTATACTCGATATCTCTATCAAATAACAAATTCAGGATCATAAAGTCCAATTCCATTCCTTAAATACACTATAAAGCGTAATTTGTATTATTTATTGTATATTGTAATTAGCTCCTAGGCGGATCTTAACACAGAACAAAAATTTCACCATTATCTCGTGCTTACATATTAATATATATATATATATACATATATATATATATTAATATATAAATAATATATATATATACACATTAATTTTAATAATTTTTAATTTGACCTCGCGGGATAATCTTTTTGTATTTTTTCCACATTATAAATATCATCGTTTCGTATTCGCCTTTATGTAATAACTTTAGATATTGTATTGTTATATTTTATTTGTACAATCGCGAATACAACTCTTTGTAACTCGTTACCCATAGATAGAAAAAGGGAGGGAGGGGGAGAGAGAGAGAGAGAGAAAGAGAGATTGAGAGATTGAGAAATTGAGAGAGAAAGATTGAGAGATTGAGAGAGAGAGAAAGATTGAGAGATTGAGAGAGAGAGAAAGATTGAGAGATTGAGAGAGAGAGAAAGATTGAGAGATTGAGAGAGAGAGAGAGAGAGAGAGAGAAAGAGAGAGACGATGAAGACGTAGTTGCTATATCCTTTACGTAGGAGAAGCGATAAACTTTTTATGGATTGGTCAGATATATCCATCGTTTCGTAACATACATGCAATGTATACATTTGAAAGAAAAGAAGAGGAAGAAAAAAAAAAGAAAAAAAAAGAAAACATGAAAAAAAGAAGCACCAACAACAAACAAACAAACAAAGAATCGAAAACGTACGATATTATGGTTTAGAAACTTATTAGCGTATTTAGAAAGAAAATAGGTGAGCGATGAAGTATAATTAAATGATACTATTTATTACTCTACTTACGATTAGTATTTATTTAAACGAGTTATAACGTGTTAACTCGAAAGGGGACAGTTGTCTTGTTCTGTCTTTTCTTTTTCTCTCTAATTTATTTTTTTTCTCTTTTTTTTTATTTTTATTTTTATTTTTTTTTTATTTTTTTTTTTTTTTTACTTTTTTCTTTTCTCCTGTTAATTTCGTATTCTTTAAAACGAGTACCTTTTGTCATGTTTGGTCCTCTAAAGTATATCGGACGAGCAGCCTTCGGAAATATTTCATGGATTTCTGTGCTGAAAGGAACTATATAATATAGATGATGATGATGATGATGATGATGATGATGATGATATTGATGATGATGATGATGAGTGGAACGAAAAAAAAGGGTCGCGCGACCAGCGCATTCATGTTCTACTGCGGAATAAGTGCGAAAATAAAAGGAGAAGAAGGGGCTACAAATTAATAATGATCGTATATTACATGTGTTTCAAAGAAACGATGTTAAAACTGTGACTGCAATCATTGCTAAGGGAAAAATAGCGCGTTTTATTAAAGCACATACACAAAGAGATACGTTACATTCACACTTACACACATATGTACAGAATAGAAAGATACGATTGTAAGATACATTATATACAAACACACACACACACACACAAGTTTACACACCTACGCATAGCCATACAGTTAATAAACGAGTGCAAGCAGTATCAACGAGATTATCGACAGTGCGATGGTGTATATCGTTAACTAGAAAATTTCTTCACGTGCAAATGTTTCATTTTTTCTAATCTTAATTTTTAGTTCTATATTCAATATATATATATATATTGATATATATATATATATATATTGATATATATATATATATATATATATATGTATGTGTGTATATATACATTTTTTTTGTTTTTATTTCTTTTTCTTTACTTTCCGTTTTCTTTCTCTCTTTGCACGCGCCATATCCATTCGTATATATCGAAGATTAATATTTTGCGTCATATCGATTTTTAACCATTTTCGAGTTGCGCTTTAAGAGCGAACATTTTTGTTTGTAGATAAATGTTCTTTCTTTTTTTCTTTTTTTATCATTTTTTTTTCTTTTTCTTTTTCTTTTTCTTTTTTTTTTTCTTCTAGTACGTATCCGATCTTTGATTATACGAGTTATTTTCTTTTTTCTTTTTTTTTTTTTTTTTTTTTTTTAATATTTTCTTTTTTTTTCTTTTTTAGAACAAAATATAAATTAATATTGCTACGCGAGCGGGTGAGTACACGCGAACAATAATAATGAAAAGTAAACGATCCATCATAATTTAAGCCTGCCATTTGAGAGTTATACATGTATGTAGGTGAAATATGATGATTATGATGGTATAATGATAATGATGATAACGATGATGATGATGATGATGATGATGATGATGATGATGACGATACGTGGACATAAAACTAAGCGGGATGGCAAAAGAAAATGTCTGTTTAACTTTAAAGAATGTTTCACTTGGAAAGCGTCGTTCGTCGTCGTGTAAAATAAAAAAAATGGAAAGAAAGTAATGCGAAAAATGTGAGTGTTAGAGAAAAAAAAAATAGAGAGAGAGAGAGAGTGAGAGTGAGAGTGAGAGTGAGAGAGTGAGAGTGAACAAGTGAATGAAAGATGAGAGAGAGAGAGAGAGAGTGAGAGAGATAGGTAGTCGTTTAATAACATGGAAAAGAAAATCCATTATCGCATCTTGCGTTGGTACCGGGATGAACGGCGCTCGTTACATTTTCCTTTTGTAACTGTAATGATACTTCTATAGATCTAACTTCACTGACGGCGAATAACTGGCAAATTGTAAGAAATTGATGGTAACGATGAAATTCGTAGAACGTACTATTCTGTCGGTTGGTCTCTTATTAATAATATTGCACATATACGCACGTTTATGCCTAGATAAGGAAAGAGAGAGAGAGAGCGAGAGAGAGAGTGAGAGAGAGAGAGTGAGAGAGAGAGAATGCAAGAAAAAAATGAAAAAACAGTGTAAGAGGAAAAAATTCCAACAAGAATAACAACAACAACAACAACAACAACAACAACAACAACAACAACAATAATAATAATAATAATAAAAATCAACTGTACGTCGTACGGCTATCGACAGAAATAATAAATAAAAGAAAGTGTCTCAAGTAAAGAAAAAAAAAAAAAGAAAAAAAAAGAAAAAAAAAGAGAAAAAAAAAGATAAACCAGCCTTAAAATAACACAAGTGTGTATATAGCTATATGAAATGTATACACATCTCGTTCATTAGCGATAAGTTCGCGACACGGTCCACCGAAATAAATGCGTGCTCGCATCCACCCACCCCCGCCCACCCGCCTGCCCCCCTCCTTCCTCATTGGAGGAGATTACTCGCGTGAAGAATGATTTTAAAGTGTCAATATTGTTACAAAATATACTACTTCATACGGGTCGATGTATCGCGCATGTTCAGTAACTGTTTGTCCGTTCGGTGATTCTTTCGTTTATTTATAGTATTATACGAAGTGACAGGAGACTTCTACGAAATGAATCGATATAATAATAAAGGTGCGAAAAGGATTGGCGTTTCGTGAACTATTTTATATTCTGATTAATATATCCCTCGTTATTATTATTTTTATTGTTTATTTTTTCGTTATATTACTTCATCGTACGATACGAACTATATATTTTTTTTTATATTTGAACTTTTTTATATTTAAAAAAGAGAAAAGAAAAAGAAAGAAGATTTATTAAAATTCGTATTAAATACTCGTAATGATATTCAATTCATGCACATAATATTTGCAATATCGAAGAGCCATAGATGATTTTATATTAATCGATATGTTAAGAGTATTTATTAAAGTATTGATTATCGTAGTCTAAAAATTTCAAATAAAGCCCGCACCGTCTATCAAAGCGCGACAAACGCTCATTGGTGGGAATGAATCGTGTGAGCTGGACCAATCATCTAAGACCACGATCGCAATGGCGGTGTGGTTGGACAGTTTTATGTTATCGGCTGGATAAGTATATCTTTTTGAAGACAGACTGTTTCTTTACTTATTTATGAAATTACATTGAAGACCGTGAATCAATTTTTATATCCAGTCATGTACCATTACAGCTTGTTATTGTTTTTTTTGGATTTGTCTTTTGATTGTAAGTAATCCTAACCTATATACGTTAAAAAGTAATCTAAATGCATAACATAATAGCTTTGGATTTGCATTTTAGTGATCGGCAGCGTTTCACAATTAGAAATTAATAAACATTTAGAATTAGGTAGAGAATTTCTTGTACATGGACAATTGCAAGATGCATTGTCACATTATCATGCAGCAATTGGTAAGTTTGGTTATATGTATATGTATGTATGCCTTATTTTCTAACAATTTCATATTAAATCATATTATTTATTTTAGAGGGAGATCCTAACAATTATTTAGCGTATTACAATAGGGGTATGGTATATTTGGCACTAGGTAAAGCTAAGTTCGCGATTCATGATCTTGACAAAGTTTTGGAATTGAAACCTGATTTTACAGCAGCTAGGCTGCAACGTGGAAATGTTTTATTCAAGCAAGCAAAGTTTGATTTAGCCGAACAAAATTATAAAGAAGTTGTATGTATCTGTTTGTATATAATATATTTGTTATTGATTTAGGTAGATTAGAATGAATTAGAATATCCTGTCTTTGTAGCTTGCAGTGGAACCACAGAATGAGGAAGCTGTATCTATGTCATATACGATACCAAATCTTGAAATGGATATGCAATATGCAGAAGATATGGTTAAAAATCGGGATTGCAGGACGGCGATTCGACATATAACACGACTTATAGAAACTTGTCCATGGTCGCTTGAACTTAGAGAGCTAAGAGCGGAATGTCATGATGCTTTAGGAGATTATATGAGTGCTATTACTGATATACGTTCCACTACTAAATTACTATCTGACAATACAGAAGGTTATTTTAAACTATCCAGTATGCACTATCGTATTGGACAAGTAGAAGAATCATTGAGGTGAGATATCTGTTTCAGGGAAATTTATTGCTTTTAATTTTATAATTTTTGATTTTAATTTAATATAAATGTTTAGGGAAATTCGAGAGTGTTTAAAATTAGATCCAGAACATAAAAAGTGTTTCCCATTTTATAAAAAGATTAAAGAAGTATCTAAATTTCTGGGAAAAGCAGAATCTTCTGAGGATGCCAATAATCCTCAAGGTTGTATAGATTCTGCCGAACGTGTACTCCGTTTAGAGGCAAATGTAAAACATGTTAGATTTACTGCCTTGCAGTTACTTTGCAAATGTTACACAGCTAACTCAGAACCAAGTCAGGCAATTAATAATTGTCAAGAAGCATTAAAGATACGACGAGAGCCAGCTATTTTGTGTGACAGTGCGGAGGCATATCTGGCCAATGAATTATATGATGATGGTAACGATCATTTTCATATAATTATAATTTAATAATTTTCGCAATTGAATAATTTGTTTGTTTGTTCGTTTTTTTTTTTCTGGGGTACAGCGATAAAAGATTATAAAAAAGCTTTGGAAATGGATCCTGACTTGCAAAGAGCAAAGCAGGGATTACAGAAAGCTCAACAACGACAAAAACTTTCAGAGTCGCGGGATTATTACAAAATTTTAGGCGTATCTAGGACAGCTTCGAAACGTGAAATTATTAAAGCGTATAGAAAAGCGGCACAAAAATGGCATCCCGATAACTTCCAAGAAGGCGAAGAGAAGAAACGAGCGGAAAAGAAATTCATAGATATCGCTGCTGCCAAAGAAGTACTAACTGATGACGAAAAGAGAGCAAAATTCGATCAAGGCGAGGATCCATTGGATCCTGAATCTGGAAAACATCAGCAAGGCTTCAATCCCTTCCAAGAATTTCATCACTTTCATGGTTCACCTTTCCAATTTAAATTCCATTTCAATTAATTACATATTTCGATCTTAATCGTCCTAGCGCAATTGAAATAGCCAATTCGTTGATTCTGCGTCATTTATGGCTCACAATATCGAATTTAGCTATTTTATTACTAAATATGATTTTGCTAAATCTACCTTGTTGGTAGTTTCGTATCTTAAATATTTTTGAGATCGAAGGACCACATTTGAAAAATACGATGATTTGATTAATCGTATATGAGCTATTTAGAAGACGTAATCAATTTTGAAAATATTGAATAATGAAAGTGCGTGAACAATTTAACATAATTAATGATTGGCTAATTGAAAGCCAATGTATATTGATTAAACATTAATGTATTTTCTATACGCAGACTGAAGTAATGAATATTATCGATTGTACATCACGATTGTAAACGTGTGTTATAGATATGTTCATTCTCTTGAGTTATGTGTCGATATAACCAACGAAGTCTGTGATTGTATTTCGATTGAATTAAGATCACTTTTGACATTCATAGAAAGAACGACCGTCGGTATTTCACGATATAAGTCCATGATATATATCCAAGTGTCATTTTTCGATGATCCTCTATTGTCGATTGTAGATACTTTTTATCGGATAATCTATGGTTCTTTTTTTTTTTATTTTTTTTTTTTTCAATGGATATTTCTATTCGATGCCATTGATTACCGCCGATACTTAAGGCGGCAACGATACTGTGCGCGTGTGTGTTCGCATGAGTGTGAGTCAGAATATTATGTAAATATTGTATCTCTAATCATTGTTTAAAAGTATATTTGAATAATTTATACAGATAAATACGGACAAACATCGAATTACCTAGTGGTATATATATATATTTTTTTTTTTTAATCCTTCGAAGCGCCAACATTGAACCTTCGGTTCTTCTTCTTTTTCTATTCTCACTTAATCTTGCCTGTTTTTAATCTAGTATTTTTCAATTTCTTCATTTCTTCCTCTTCCAATTTCTTTCGTTGTGCTTCCAATTTCCTCCTTTTCGCGGCAGCCAATTTTTTCCTTTTACGTAATTGTGCTCGAAGATTTTTATACTCGCCCAATTCGTGTCTCACAAAATATCCCCTTATTGCTGCTTGAATTATTGTAGCGGCACGATGGAGAATCGCTTGATATTTAGCTTCTTCTTCCAATCTCCTTATCTCAGCTAGATTCTCGTCTATAAATGCCTGTCTCTCGTCTTTCATAACACGTAAATCTTGAATTTCAAGTTTTTGTTCTTCAACTTTTTCCTTTACGACGAACGAAAATAAACGATTAGAAAGGAAAAAAATTTTTTATTGAATAAAAGACAAAAAAATACCTTCAAATCGTTTATATCTCGTTGTCTTTGTTCGATTTCGTCGTCATATCGATTGGACCATGCCAACATCTCATTCTCCATATCTTTGATACTCTCTTGATAGTAAGCACATATTTTTTCTGTAACAATTTTCTCTACGATTTGCTTTTTTTTATATTCGTCAATTTCATTCAAAAGATTTTGCTCTTCCGTTGTCAATTGAAACAAATGCTGAGTAAATCTTGCATTTTCCCACTTGTCTACGTAACCTAAGATCACGAACAATTAATTTGAAATATTACAATATTTTTTGGTACAATTCGATCTTTTATAATAACATCCTATATTATTTTATATCAAAATTTGTTATTCTTTGATAAAAAAGAAAAGAAAAAAAAAACGAATGATTTGTTTTATAATAATATATTTGTGTCATGTGATTATATCATGAAATTATATTTTATAAATAAAGAATTTCTGTAGCTGTAAAAAGATACTTTTTTAAAAATATTTCTTTAATAAAATAAAATAACAAATAGTATATATAAATTAAAAAGCGTGTTAACAAATATATTATTTTCTTCTTATTGTTTATGATAAAAAGTCGAATTATGCCAATATTCTTCGATCAATATACACTGTATTTAAAATAAAATGAAGGCGAGAGCGGCGCGTGCGCGCGTGGAAAAAATGTCACATACCCATTTTCAATGCCATCTCGTATACAACATCATCGACTTTAGCTTTTGTCATTTGAGCCAATTTCAGTAATTGCCTTTTCTCACGTTCCTGTTTGCTCGTTTCGTCTTTGATCAATTGTCGTAATTGATTAACTTGATTCTCCCAGAACGTACAAGTTTCTTTAAGATTGTACTCGTCCTCCAACATCTTCATAATATCATTTACCTCTTCTTTGAGGATGTCGAATTTTTGGTAACGTTTGATCTCATCGAGAGTCATCTTTAGAATCTTGTACATATAAGTTCTGAAATGTTACAACTAACGAGATAATATATTTAACAAAGAAAATTTAAAAGCATTATCTTGAAAAAGTTTTGATCTCGAATATTATTGATATAATCAATGGAAAATTATTAAAATGATAATATAAAATTTCAATTAAAATAAATATCAATGTGAGAGATAATTAAAATAATAATTTAAAATCTAAATTATATATAAAATAAATATCGATGATTAATAATCAGAATGAAATAATTAAAAAATTTCAATGTTGCACATGTAATAGATGTGATACAATTTTTTGAGTAATTTTTTGGATATTGGATATTGAATAAAAGTACGTTCCTTTTTTAAAAGTTAATAATAAGAAGAGAAACAATTCGGACACGTACCTATCTCTCTGAAGTTTTGCTGGATTCGACAATATCAATGGTGGCAAATTAGTTTCCTCTCTGATTATTATATGGGGTTCTTCTAAGGCACCATATTTCTCCTTAATAGGTTTCACGATATCGTCCCAACGATCATCGATCTCTGCTGGTATGGCATGCCGTAAGACAGCCAGTTGATCTACGCATTCCTCAAGGACAGAGGCTATCACTGTTGCTTCGTACCGTGTTAGGTTTGTTGAAAGATCTTCGTCTACACTCCTTTCTATCATTGATTCTTCCGAGATCAACATTTTTTTATCATCGACGAGCTATATTTATAAATATATCATTCGTCGATCAACTTCAATAGCTTTCAATCGCTTTAACTTTAACAGATTTCTTATAATTTTCTTGATTTTTTTATAGATTTATTTTTTTTCTATCTCACCCGTATAAATAAATGTACGGCATATTACGTATCATCATTTTGAAAGATGATCTGCATACTTTGTATACAGATATACTTATGTGAATGAATACCTTATCACTGGTATCGATCGTTTTCATTTCCATTATGGATACCGGCGATGGGAATATACTAGGCCTAGGATTGAAAAAGCTACCACGCTGTTTGTATATTATTAATTCTTCTCCTTGTAAGTACTTTTTAGATTTCATATCCAAAATAGTAGCCATTTCTTCTATTTTTTCTTCTTCTTTTTCTTCTTCTGTTTTTATCTTCTCCTCCTCTATACCTTTTTGCACCTAAACATTGATCTTTTATTGGATTCTTATAAGAATTCTTTTTACATTTTTCTAATTTTTTATATATACAACATATTATAATATATACATATATATGTATATATGTATATAAGATATACTCGTTTAGTATTGATCTAAGAGTTAACATTTTTTATGTTGTTCTTACCATCATTTTCTTATCGAATTTTGAAATTTTTTTTAAATTCGTAGCCAAAGATAGGGCTCTTTTTTTCATTTCAATATCCATAGCAGTTTTCTCCGTAGATCTCGTATGAACGTCGATCACATGTCTTCGGCTTTGATCTAACACAATCGATGAGATCGTAGCCAGTGTATTCTCTTGCTCGAATTTTTGTATATTTTTTTTTCTCCTCGTTGTTACTTTCTCTGCCATGTTTCTTATATATATATATATATGTGTATGTATATATATATATTTTTTTTTTTGGAATACTAATTTTAATGCTACACAATATTTAGAAATTAAAGGAGGTTATTTAATGCTATGAAAAATATCGATCCTCTACTGTTTTTGCTTTGCAATGATGGAAGTTGAAAATGAGTGGAAATTGAAAGATTTACACATAGATTCGTTTGAAAGATGCACTTTATTTTAATTTTATTATCATTCGTTTTCGTTCGTCTATTAAATAATGTTCAAGGAACATTTTGATTTTTTTGTCCTTTCGTTTCTTATTCTTTTTTTTTTCTTTCTTTGATTTTTACACAAGATCAATCGTTACGAAGGAAAATACATTTCAAAAAATTTAAAAAGAATACTATATTATTTATAAAATCTTCTAATTAACTTTTAGATATGTTTTCGAACGGTTTTTTTCTCTGATTTGATCTTTACATAAAATGAACAATAAATCTAATTTAAATTATCGTCGTAAACTTGTAAAATTATTATAAATTTTTTTGTACGATATAACGATAATTTAAATATTTATATATATATATATATATATATATATATATATATATATAGATATATGAATGTATATATATACTATATCTCTTTTTTCTTCAACAATTACTATCAATTAAAATTTTATCTTTAACTACGATATATTTGTACTTGAACAAATTCTACTATTTTTTTTCTATTTCTTTTTTTCTGACTTCTCTCAAAAATCTGAACAACCTTAGTTGCAAGAAGACATTTTGGCATTGTTAGATAAATGCACACATTTATATATATTTCGTTTCATTAATTATAGCGTTACGAATGAGGATTATTCAAGTGCATATAACAGTTTGCTAAAATCCCATTAAGTTTATATATATATATATATATATATATATATATATATATATAAACATAATGGTAATATAGATAATATCTTTTTAATACTATTACATACATTGACATATGTCACAGGCTCATCTATACTTACACTTATATATATATATATATATATATATATATATATATATATATATATATATATAAATTTGATGTAGATGATCTTTTAATCAAGAGAATTTAATTAATGTTATTCCTCGGCTCGATCGACAAGTGATTTAATTAAAAAACCATCTATCGATCTTTCTCTCGAATCAAACTTTAACTAGATAAACTTTAACTAGATTAATTAGATACTTATTTAAATGTATCGAGTTAAACTCGAGAGTTTTTCTTTTCTTTTGATTGTTTAACTGTGACTTATAGGAGGAAGAATTTACATGAAGTAGAAACCATTCCCATGGAAAAAGAAAAGAATAAAAAAATATATGTGTATATATATTTCCCTATTTATCTCTCTCTCTCTCTCTCTCTCTCTCTCTCTCTCTCTCTCTCTCTCTCTCTCTTTATATATATATGTGTAAAGAGAAAGAGAAAGAGAAAGAAAAAGAGAAAGAGAGAGAGAGAGAGAGAGAGAGAGAGAGAGAGAGAGAGAGAGAGAGAGAGAGAGAGAGAGAGAGAGAGAGAAACGGGACATTTAGAAATTCGAGCTATTTACACGAAGTAACTCGTGTATTCGTGAGGCATGACACCTCTCCTTGGATAAAACGTGTGACTGGTCGAGTATTCTAAAAGATTCGTAATCGAACTCATGTAAACATCCGCGAACCTAAAAAGTCTTCTTGAGAAGTAGGTCGGATTGTGATACGTTCTGAAGACCGAGCCGAACTGTTTATTGAATACACACTTTATTTCATTTCTCAGTCGATCGCGTTCCTCTATCCATTCGTTAAGTTCGTCTTGAACTTCTGAACCTTCGTAATCTTGATGTTCTTCTATCAAACCGGTCAACATTTGAAGCCAGTTTGCGTTCTCTTTGAATTTTGGATGATTTAGTGTTTCAATTTCATGCTATAAATTAAAACAAATTAATGAATATATATATATATATATATATATATATTTCTTTTCTGAAAATCGTTATGTGTCTTATATACAATTTCGAAGAAAAAATAAATGTAATAAAAATATATATCCATCGCATAAAGATATAAAATTCAGAAACGCATACTAAACGTTCATTTCTTCGTTATAAAGTATATATCATATTTACAGTTAATTCCTTAATTATTGCACCGGTTCTCCAACCATGTTCCAGAGTTACGTCCGCCAGGTCGCTGTACGGGTGATCACCAAAATACAACACTTGATGTCCTCGCCATCCTGTCATATCTTGCAGCTGTTTAACCGTACCCTATTATATTCAAAAATTTTATCAATCATTATATTCTCGTACGAAATAAAATTCTATTTCAATGTATTACACAATATATGAAATTACGTACTTCTAGGTATATGACACCTTTTTGTAATTTGGTTACACGATCCCAGAGTTGAGTCTTATTCATCTCATCGTAAATTCGTAATGGCCGTGATTCCTCCGTGAAGAATCTTGGCTTTCTCGCTTGGACGATCACCACCTCGAAATAATCCTTCCAATTATCGCCGACTAAAAATTTCATACCTATGTCTCTGAAGAAAAAAAAGAAAAAAAAAAGAAGTATGATTTAATTTTTTACGACGAGAACCATAACGAAATATAATATTTAATTTTATAATTAATATTTATTAAAGAATATAATAGTCATTTACACGAAATGAAATGGACTGTTTGTCACCAGGAACATATTTTTTTTAGCACTTTTGAGCCTCTCAAAGAACCTCCTCAAATCTTTGTTCTGTTCCAGATATTCGGCTACGTTTTCCGTTACCATACCGTGCATTATGGGATGACAATTTTTCACGGAATTCTGTATGTAGGATAATGATCCTTTAGTTTCACAAGGCACCATTACGTTCGAAATAATTTCATTCCCTCGTTTTACGAGTTTACTTTACCTTGACATCTCGGAAAAGTATTTCCGGATGATAATCGATATGATTCCTTAAAAAGTATTCCGTGACGTTACATAATAGACTCATTTCCGGTACAGAAAATAGATCTGCCAGTTGGACCATTTTTGTTCGATGCAAACCATCCTTTGGATTAAAATGAAATTTTCTTTTTTACTTAAACGAATAAATTTCAGTTAATATTCGATTACAAATTTATTTACCTTATGCTATCCCCAATCCCATAAGGAACCATTGAAAAAGCATACAAATATAAAATTTGTCTTTAATTATACCATTATACCACCAATGAAATTAATTTCATTAAAATGGTTCTTGTAAAAGCAATGGTTAATAAATGAGAGTTAATATGATCGATGAGATTTGAAAGTATACAGAGAGGGAGAGGGGGAGAGAGCGAGAGAGGGAGAGAGATACTTATATACCAGTGAAATGAAAATTACGAGAAAATGTGAGGTAGTATGAATGATTTTATAGAAAAAAAAAAAAATATATATATATATATATGTATATACATATAAAAAGCGATAAACTTTAGTGAGGTTTTAATAAATAACCTGTGAGTGTTTATTTGGTGCTTCTACGTAAGCTATTGGAATAATCCTGTTTTTGTAGATCCTGAGAACATCTTCGTTTGGCAGCGGGTGTAAACCTCGATAAACAGTACCAAATTGAATTTGTAAGAAACTGTCGAGTTTCAACAATAGACCCTTTTCAATATCATAATGAAGTCCACGAACAGCAAAATCCTCTTTGTATTCGAGTTCACTGATACCTTCTGGATACTTGACATATTATAACATTTTTGTTAACTCACTATATTAACTTGAAATTTAATTATATTTTTTTTTTTTTTTTTTTTTTTTTTTTTTTTTTTAATATAAATATACCTTGTATTTTTGTATTAACATGTCTCGTCCTAAGTTATAAAGTAGGTAATCCATCGAGGGTTTGTAACAAGCAAGAGTGTAGTCATAATCGAATCCATAAACTTGAACTTCCTCTAGGTCGAGCTCGTTGCAAGCGAAGACACCTTTATGATTGACATCTGGTGGGAGTTTCTTTGCTGTGTAATTAAAGTTATGTCTAGATAATAATAGATAATTTTTTTTTTTTTTTTTAAAGGCATACATCAAAAGTTTGAAACATTCTACCGTTTCATATTTTATAGAGATTCAGAATTTTCATGCAAGCAACAAGCAAGGGATGTATCGAAAATATCTCGTTTTAAAAAATTTTCACTCTATTAAATTTATATGCGCGTTTACAATTTACAGACATAATATGCAAGTTATATCATAGCAAACAAAAATCTCGTTTGTTTAATATCATATATGTCATTATATATATATATGAAATATTATATATGCATAATATATCTCTATCGTAAGAATAATATTATATTCAGGTCATTATTCATGTGTCTAGAGAATAATAATATAATTTATAAATATAATATCTAAATTATATATACGTATGTGTATGTATGTCTGTATATATTTATATATATACAAACATAGACTCATTTGTTTAATATTATTTATGTATCTACGCATAAAACTTGCATATTATATCTGTCGTAGGAATAATATTGTGTACAGGAAAACTTGGAAATAATTCTCTTTGCTCGACGTGGCACGTTGCTTACGGTGGGCCAGAATCACGATCCAGGCCACCGGGTCCATAATGTAATTTGACATTATTACGGAACGCGCACTGACTAAATAAAGAAAGCGCGTCCATCTCGCCTTCGTATTTCTCCTTTACCTGTTATTTCATTTTTTTCTTCTTTACGTTCACTCACGGCTCAAGTGTAAAAGAAGAAGAAGAAGAAGAAGAAGAAGAATAAGAAGAAGAATAAGAAGAAGAGAAAGAAAGAAAAAAAAAGAAAAACAAAAAGAAAAGAAAAAGTAAAAGAGATGAAAAAAAAGAAAAGGAAAAAAAAAAGAAACGTTGCTCGATATCGAGCCGGATCATTAAGGTGTTTATCTCGTAACATAAACCATACAATTCTGCGATGAAGGCCATACGGATGTTGATGTAAAAAATTTAATCATCTTTCTTCTATGCATTTCTAAATCCTATTATGATGCATTTTCATGATGATCGACGAGAAATATAACGAGATTAATTTTCTTATTATATCAAAATGTAGACTTAATTGGTTAGTGAGATTTTACAAATCTGATATGAATATAAAGTAACTTTAGATGAAACTCTGAGACCCAGATAATATTAGTGTAAGTCTTTTTAATTAAGTAATTGCACCTGAACGAATCTTGTCAACAATATACCCCAACGTGTAATTCGTATACGTATATAGGTATAATACATATCCCCGGCATATCCGTTAAATTACGAGGGGTCTGCTGCTTCGATGGTGTAGTATTATATACCACTAACGAGTATATACAATCCCTTTGCAAACGAGAATATAATTTATGAGAATCACCAACAATTGTTTCTCTCTGCTAGATTAATAACCAGTTATATATTATAATTTTCATTTCGAAATAAGATCTTAAAGCTTTCCTTCAAATACGCTTGATATCGTAATTTTCTCTGTTCCATTTAACCCTTTTAATTCGTATGTCAACCTGAGGATGACAATACAAATTTGTTATAAAATTGATATATTACCTCTGTGAATTAACAGTAATAATCATTAATTGTTGTGGCATATTTTTCAGTCGATTATTTTTATTTATCAATTTAGCATCGTTACATCGAAACAGACAACATATAATAATTATCTTTTCGTTTCTCTTTTATAAGATAAATCCAAATGTGATGACGTTGAAAGAAAAAAAAATCTATTTCGAAAGGTTAAATTGTATCTCTAAATAACTGTTTATTGGAGTAATACAAATATTCAATGTACGATTTTGTAAAATTTAAGAAACGAAACGAAGAGATTAAAAACAACAACAAAAAGAAAAAATATCTTTCAAGTTCGCCGCGTAAAGTTTAATACAATCTGATTGGCTACGTTAATGACGTTAAGAGATCATCCGCGCATGCGCAATAGAGCATACGTACGAAAAGGAAAAGTGGCGCCTTAGTGAGCGCGCGATTGGCGCCATAGTCGCGTGGCAACTAAGCAAGGGGGAGGTTAGGTTAAGCAAGATGGCGGGCGAAATGGTTATACGAAGATGTACTTACATTTGCATTTCTCCAACACTTTCAGGTAATTACTGTGCATGTCATGTCGAGTAATTTGGCCACGATTGACCGCACGATCACCGATCGATCGGATTTTCTTTTCGACATCTGTGCGACAACGTAAAAGAATACGTGACAAATTATTCGATGTGGTAAAACACATAAAACGGGACGACGTCGCGACACCGCCAACGACGATCCTCGCGTGCAGCATCACGGATAACTACTATTGGAGGATGAGTCGCGAACTCGAACGCGGCGTCGCAAGTCTATTGGCGCCTAGCGCCGCGCTAGCTTCGAATTTCTTTTTCTTCTTAATCTTTTTCCTTCTCTTTTTATTCTTTCTCTTTCTCTTCTTCTTCTTCTTCTACTTCTACTTCTTCTACTTCTACTTCTACTCCTACTTTTGCTTCTACTATCTACTTCCTCTATCTCTTCGTCTTCGTTGTTCGAAATCTCGAAACCTGAAAAAACATTCCCATTTATAATCTCTATACAGGAATTAAATATATAATTAACAATTAAAATCGATTCAATTTATTTCATTCTAAATCAATTATCTAATTATATATCGTTATATTTAACATAGTAGATCTAAGAAATAAAAGAATTCTTTTCTATTCTATTTTTCACTTTTATATAAGTTTATATAATTGTAAATATTATGTACGCACACACACACACAGAGTGAGAGAGAGAGAGAGAGAGAGAGAGAGAGAGAGAGAGAGAGAGAGAGTGAGAGTAAGAGTAAGAGTGAGAGAGAAAGATTGTAGATAACGATATATCGTAATAGGCTTTAAACAGATGTATTTAATTTCGATTAAGAACGTTGATAAATATTTAAATGAATCTGTGATACGATCGTAATTTTTTTTTAAGAGGATCTTAATTGTCTCTCTCTCTCTTTCTCTCTTTCTCTCTTTCTCTCTCTCTATTTATTATCTATCATCGTTAGATAATAAATAAAAATCAAAAGATCGAACGAAAATCAAAACGATTAATTATTAAAACGTATTAGCTAATAAAACAATTTTTATTTGGCCATCTCGAGTTACGTGGAAAGTTCGCATGCGTTTATTAAATGAATCTATTAGGTTTTTTTTTTTTTTTCAATAGATTAACAATCAACTTTATTTAATTAATCAACATTACTTCGTAAGGTTGACTAACTCAAACAATCGAGTTCTACAGCTAGTTCTAACAATTTATTTAATAGCATATAAATCTTCACGTACGTTACGAGTTAAAATTTTGTTGATCGATCACTAGATTAAAATATATATATATATATATATATATATCGAAGGTGAATGCGATGATAGAAGAAGGTCAATGAGTTGTTTATAGGAAGAAGGATGTTTATACAGGATGTACATATGTAGAGGAGGGATGATAGGAGGGAGAAGATGTTGAAGTAAAAGCGCGTTACGTGACCTTGCTGTGACATACTTGATCTAATTCGTCTAGGCTCATTATGCTATACGCGTGTTACGCAATTCTCTGGGCGTCATAGATCATGTTATAATACGTAGACATCGTGCTGGTAACCGCAGTATCGCATACGTCTCGGTAGCGATCACGTGTGCACGCGAAGTTTCCAATACAGTTTTGATTTGACCAAAATGCTTTTTTTTTCTCTCCTTTTCCTTCCTCTCTCTCTCTCTCTCTCTCTCTCTCTCATTCTCTCTTCGTTTTTTCTTTTTTCTTTTTTTTCCCTAACTCCCACGTGCGTAATATTCTTTATCTAGAGGTTTATTTCCGACGAATGCTATCTTTATGTTTTTGGCATTGAATATCTATTTTTATCGGTTCCTTTTTTTCTTTACTTTTTTTCCCTTCTTTTTTTACTTTTTTTCTTTTTTTTTTTTTTTTTTTTTTTTGTACGAAAGAAACAATCGTAAAGAGAGTAAGGTAGTCGCGTGCACGTTCACTTTCGTTCGCGCGACTATCGAACTCCCTGCACATTGATATCTCATGGAAGAGATGTTGTGAATTGAAATCTTTACTTTTCGGTTCCTTCTTTATTTCTTTTATTTTTTTTTTCTTATTTTTGTTCTCTCTCTCTCTCTCTCTCTCTCTCTCTCTTTTTTTTTCTTGTTTTCTTCTTCTCTCGCGGACACGAGACGCGCGGCTCCGTTTATAAACGCAGGGACTCACGTAATCGTTGAACAAACGCCAGTTGAGAGCCCTCCTGCGCTCGTCGATTCACCAACTGCCGTTGAAGAGTTCGTTTCTGGCTCTGCCTCCTTCCGAACATCCCTCTCTTTCTCTCTCCCTCCCATACTCTAACGTACGACCTTTCTCTCTCGATGGGTTACAATCGCTTCTCTTTTTCTCTCTCTCTCTCTCTCTCTCTTTCTCTTTATCTCTCTTAACTTGTTTCCTCGAAGGAGACACAGGTTATTTATATCTCTCAAATTCCGAGATACCTGGCCCTGACTTTGAAGCGCGATAAATGCTCGTCAAGACTATCGTAAAAATCGATCGTCTTCTTTGACTTTATTACTATGATTTCTTCGACACCTTTTCTTCACATACAGTCTCGTACGAGGATCGAAAAGATAATTTCGAATATCGCGCAAAATTTTCAAAAAATATTATACAATGTGTCCTCCTTGGTGATAATGTGAAGGAAGAATAATATTAGTACGAATTTTTCAATTTGTACAATGACATTATTATATATAATTGTTTATTGTTTAATCGTTTTTTTTTCTCCATACTTAGCAACGAAAACTAATTGATATATTTCAATGTAATATTAACCGGATACGAGGTTGTCATCGAGGTTCATGAAATTTTAAAGATAGTAACGCGTTTTAGGGTCAAACAAATACATTACCAATGTTATTTTGATCACGTACGCGCGAGAGAAAAGAAGTGCGTCGTTTGAAATATATTTACGATGGATATATTTTGTTGCGACTCTCTACATTCGATTCCATGGCAAACTAGTGATTGTTATTTTCACACCGATCGTGTTCAATAAGTAGTGTGTACTACCTGTTACCAACAATCTCGGTCATTCCTTTCAACTTTCGGTAAATGTTACCTGGATGATCATTAGGAAGCCAAGTTCTATGTATACATGTACCATACGTGTATCATATTAATTTTTCGTTCGCATCAAAGATTATGACAATGACAACATGGTAGCATTAATCTTAAAGCACCTAATTGCTCATTAATACGTAGAATCATTTGTCAGGAGCATGATACTCGAAAGGAATGATTTATGATCTGACGCATCAGTCGAATTATTCGCGTGAATGTTTTTCTTTTCTTCTCGCCCCCTTTTTTCTTTTGTTTTCTTTTTTTGCTTCGATATTAGATCGTAATATTTAGCTCATCGAAATAATTATTGAAAAAAGTTGAAAAAAGTTTCGAAGCGTTTTCTATGCCAATGATTTTCTAGCTTTTCTTTTTTTTTTTTTCTATTTGAACAACAAAAAGGAGGAAGTATAATAAGAAGAAATTGAGGAAATTGAAAAAGAAGAAGAATGGAAATGAGGAATGATCCTCGTCATCGTTCGATCGATCGATTCTCTGGTTCAGAACGCGACCGTACTTTACCATATGTAGTCATTCCGTTGCTACCAGTGGAACGCGACCCCATTACCTTAATCTTTTACCGGTTGTCGGTCGTCGTACTTCGCGTGAATTTGTTTTTGATTGGAGCGTATCTACGATCGAGTCGATTATACGATTTTCACTGTCGTCCGATTATATATCTCTCTTGTCGTATCCCAAACTCGTCGTACTCGTCGTACTTCGCGTGAATTTGTTTTTGATTGGAGCGTATCTACGATCGAGTCGATTATACGATTTTCACTGTCGTCCGATTGTATACCTCTCTTGTCGTATCACAAACTTTTCGTTTTTATTATTTTTCTTTTCTCGAGTAATATAAAATTCTTATACGTCGTATCAAATCTAATTGAACGAGAAAATTGAAATTTATGATTATTCATTGTAATTGATAATGGCCATTAATTTAATCGTCAATTGAATTAATATTTAATGAGTATGAAAAGTTTTAGGAAAAAAGTAAATTTTAAAGAGAACAAAAATATCATATAATTAAACTATAATATAAAGAATCAAGATCAAGATCGAATTTCTTATGGATCTTACTAATAATATTATATAATTAGAATTATTTTTACAATTCATATAAATTGATTTATCGTTCGAAGAATCGATCAGTATAATGTAAAATACGTTGTTTTCATATTGAGCAAGAAAAGAAAATGAAATAACAAAAAAAGAAAAAAAAGAAAAAAAAAAGGAAAGAAAAAGAAAAATAAAAGAAATAACAAAAAAAGTACAAATCTTGTAGAAAGCAAAGATCCCTCATCCTTCCGGTGATTTCGATAATTAATCGCTCGCTTTTACTTCGACAATCCAATAAGATATTCTTCGTTTTGTTTTCCATTGGACGAGCAATTAATTGTCTTGAGTGTGCAGGTGCGATTCGTTCCTCTTCTATATTAAGAGAAGCCGTCACTCACGGATCTAGAACGCAATGATCGTAAGAAAAATGGACCTAGATGTTTCGCCACCGATCCTGACCGGTTTCTTCGACGTCAAAAGCAGTGCGCACGTACGATTGAATCTTCTTAATCGTGAACGAAACTCGCACATTGTATTCTATCTATGTCTGCTACATATACAAGATTTCATATGATGATATCGCGTTATCATCTTGTATGATAATATAAACCAACATGGAAGAATCTTATGTGCCACTTCAAAATAAGAATCTTAAAATGGTACGGACAGATGGATGCGGTAACTATGGAGAATTGCTAATTAACGTTTATCTCACACCTCTCTCTTTCTCTTTGAAACTCATATATAAGTAATGTATGTATACATATACGAATGTATGTATACATATATGAATGTATATATATACGAAAATATATATATTTATATATATATTTATATTTATATATATATATATATATACATATATAGACACGTTGATTTCATGATGCTCGATAAAGCAACTCTAACGGTATACGAGAATTTTTATCGCTTTTTTTATGATTCAAAATATTATCGAAACTCTCGTCTACCTGTTTGACGTCACGTTCGATGGATTTATTTATTACCATTATTGATATTAAATTTGTATATAACTTGAGTGGATAGAGTTTAAAATGATCATACGATACAACGAGTCCATCAAATGCGGATAGTGAATTGTTAATGTTAAATATTCATTATTTTTTGTATTATACTCTGATAGTATCTAATGTTAATATCATTATTGTCGAAGTATATAAAGATCGATTCACATATTTCAGTTTGGTTATCCGTAACGATTGGTGTACCGAGGTATTATAATATAAATTTAATATCGCATATATATATATATATATATATATATATATATATATATATATATATATTTGAATATATGCATAGATAGATTTCTGTTTCGATCTTAGTTCGATTCATCGATCCGTCATACGCACAAATCTTTTAATATCGTAAACTACGGAGATGGAAGATTTAAGTGAAATGCGTTAATTCAATCTTAACGTATGCTGATATAGCTGATATATGAGATAGATAAATTTGGATTTATTCATAGATCGACATACATATATATATATATATATATATATATATATATATATATATATATTCTTGTTTATTAATATTTCTGATGTATTATAAAGAGAATGTGAAAATTTGGAAGGAGTGTGATTTTACGACGAGCACATGTCGACATCGTCGATCGTAAGGCTCGTGAATGTCAGGGAGACAGAAGAACGCAGATTGCTAGAGGCACTGTTCCGCTGACCTACTCCACGATTATCACTCACTACAGTCGATCGCATCGTTGTACAGCGTCGTACAGCAGGTGCGTGTGCGTTAACTAGCCTTGTGCCAACTATACGTGTATATATTTATGTATATACACACGTATATACGTATGTATATGTTACCATGCTCAGAGAAAAGGAGGACGCGCTCCGCGGGGACGTAATCAAATAAACGGAGCCATTTTATTCAACCATAGTTGTTGAATTCTCTCCTTTCTCATTCTCCTTCTTCATTCTCATATTTGGACGTGATTCAGGAATACGTATATTTCGTACGTAATAACAAGTATTTACTTTAGCGCGATTAACACGATAAAATTCAATAAACATCGTCATGTAATAATCACACTTTTTCTTTTGATTTTTAGTCGATCGAAAAAAATTTCTCTGGATTATTCAAGTATAGTTGAAATTTTCCAAATGTAATCGTTATATTTAGAACTTGATAAAAATATTTTAATTATATTATTATGCGATATAAGATAATTTTTTACTTACGTGAAAGATTCTAGAAAAAAAAAATATATATATATATATATATATATTGTTTGATAATGTAAATACAAGATGAAAAAGAATTGAATGAGTCTATTCTGTAAATAATAACAAGTCTATGAATAGGAGAACGAAGGTCGATGTTTTTGTTAAAGATACTGCCAATATTATTTTGGTAACTACGTTCGAGGATACATTCTTTGATTAGATCCCAAAGGAGAAGGTCGTAGCTGTTTTTAATCGATTTCAAACGATGCGTAGTATTCTTAGTGTCCGTTTCACGGAGAAAGTATGGCGGATTGGTTTACGTCGATTCATCAACAAGCTTGATAGAATAAAAAACATATAGTAAGTATATTATTAATTATTATTAATTGCCATTCATCTCTTTCTCTCTCTCTCTCTCTCTCTCTCTCTCTATCTCTCTCTCTCTCTTTCTTTATTTTTCATTTTTTTTTAATTTCTTTACTTCTCGTCATGTCGGATACTCTCCTTTTTTTCTTTTCTTTCCGACCGAGCATCAAGTCGTGTAAAACGTCGCAAGTTCGTCGTGCGGTCTCGTAACCTTGTTGGGATAACAGCGTCCGATTCCAAGATCTTTTCTCGACGACTTTCTATAAGACAAAAACTAGTCCCATTCGGTTATACAGAAAATTTGGCGATCACTTTTTGCGATATCTTTCCATATGATATGACGAGTAGGTACATCCTCTCTGACTTTGTCTACTTTCTATTCTATCTTATCTCTCTCTCTCTCTTTCTCTCTCTCTCTCTCTCTTTCTCTCTCTCTTTCTCTTTCTCTTTCTCTTCATTTTTCTCTTTATCCATGCTATTAGATTTATTTCGTTTTCTTCTTATTTTTGTATTCAATAATCATAGTCAATTATGTCTCGTACTCAGTTATTTCTTCTTCAGTTTAAATCAGTTATTCTATCTACGTATTTATTATTCTGAATTAATTTGAACGTTCATTTCTATTCTATTTCTTATGATTTCTCATAATTAATTTTATCTCTCAGTGGTTAAAGAAAATCGTTAAAGTTTGTTCATAGAAATGATTATATTAAATTATATATGTATATATATATATATATATATATATATATATATATATATATATATGTATAATTATAAAATCGTCAAAGGAAATTTCAAAAGAATTCGTTTGATTTTTATACGGATGTAATAAGATCGATAAATATTATAAAATGAAATCGGAATGAGGGTTAAGGTGATTAAATCGTATTTATATTCTTCATCGTTAGTTTGGAATTCGTTTGAAAGCTTTAACGTAGCCCGTAGAAGATGATCTTACTACTATAAAAAATCTAAGAGAGACCTTGACCCAGAGAGAGAAAGAGAGAGAGAGAGAGAGAGAGAGAGAAAAAAATATTTACGTGTGATAGTAGTGGGGCGCACCTTCGTGACGATGTTCTTTGAAGAAATGAATTTTTATTAGTAACTTTAATCGGCCCATCGAATCTTTTTTTCTTTATTTTTACGTTAAGAAACACAATGATTTATGAAATGTTAGCTACTGATCGACACTGTTTTATCGTCTAACATAAAGAATTCGAATGACGTAAGACTATTCCATTTAAGTGCCATTACTTCGCTCTCTAATCCTTTTTTGTATCGTAATATGTAAGTATCCATATCCGAAGATTTACAGAGGGTAAAGTGAATTTACCTGCTCGAAGAAAGTTTTCTGACGATTTTTTGCCGATGCAATTTTACGACGATGTTCCATTAAATTTTATGTGATATCTCTATATAAAAATATTTTGTGAGTGTGTGTGTGTGTGTATAGATCAATGTGTTGATAATATTCGGATAATTGAAGAATAAATCATATGACAGTTTGATGATGATAAGCTGAACGAAAAGTGAAGTTAAGTGAAATAAAAAAAAAAAAAAAAAGAAAAATATATCTAATCGATGTTAATACAATGGAATAAAATTCAATAAAAAAATTAATATAAATATTAGATGTGAAATTTCATTAGAATAAAATTAATAGGTCCAAAATGAAATAAATCGTTTCACCGAGTAATGTGAATAAAAAAATATAATGTTTAAAATATTAGTTAGAAGATATCGATATTTCAAATATTTAATATGATAAATCGATCTTAATTAATCTTCTAAATCGCCATTCAGTATGTTATTATACCTATATTTTTAATTAGACATTTTCTAACAGTCCCGTATATTTAAATGCTATTTAAATAACTCTTTTACTTAGAAATGAAATATACATTCACGATGGTAGTATAATTTTGTGTTCATAAAAGATTATAATAATTGTGAGGAAAATTCTATGGGAAATGAAAACGAGACTTTAGGTGTATTATTATGAAATGCAAAAACTAATTGTAAGTAATCGCGGTTTAAAAGTAAAAGAAAGGTAATAAGAAAGGTATTAAGAGAAAGACAGAGAGAGAGAGAGAGAGAGAGAGAGAGAGAGAGAGAGAGAGAGAGAGAGAGAGAGAGAGAGAGAAGTAGAAGAAAAAAAGAAGAAGAAGGAGATAGAGGAGGTGAAGGAGAAGGAAAAGGAGAAGGAGGAGGAGGAGAAGGAGGAAGAGGAAGGTCGTAGAATCAAGCGATACTGATGATTCTCAGCACCTCTTCGACTCACGAACGGTGCTCACGAGGAGAAAGTTTCGAAGGCAGGAAGTGAAGTAGGCCACGACTTTGACCGCTCACAAGGTCCATACTCCCGTGGCATGGCGGCAAGGAAGGCACGCTACTTTGTGGGAGCCGCTCTTGTGTTCGCGCTCGCGCGCACGTGCGTGTCCACAGATCTGATCGTTTATGTTCTCTTATGGTATGTGTCCACCATGAATAAGATGCTCGCTTTGATGAACTTTACGATGTAGTATATATGTATACATAGACAAGTACATATATATTCTCTTCCTTTCTCGTCCTTTTCTTTTTTAGCCCTTTTTTCGACTCTTTCATGTATATATATATATATAGTTTCTTTTTCTGCTTTTTTTCTCGTTGTCGTTGTTCTTTTCCCTTCGTTTATCTTATATTTATTGAAACGTTCGAAGAGAACGAGAGGAAGATATTTTTTTCTTTCATAAGTTTCATTTGATTACTTTATTGTTACATTATTTGATACGTGCTATATGATTAGATTATTATTATTATTTTTTTTTTTTTGATTATGTATAGCTAGAATCTAATATGTTATGCGTATTGTTTACTGAGTTACACGTTTATAGAAAATATAATAATATAATAATATTATGATATATATGTATAAATATATAGGTGTATATATATATATATATATATAAATATTTCAATATACGTAGATTCTATTGTTACAATAGTATTAGATAAAATAACTCTTAATATATACTTCGTTCGATTTTCTTCTACTTCTCTCGTTTGAAAGCAAAGCGAGTCGTGAAGTTACTGTACTCGTTTCGAAAACGACGTTAATGCGATTCGCGTGTGTGTGCCTGAAGGCATGGTGTGTTATGGAAATCCTCGCGTGTCACTCCTCCTTCGGATCGTAGAAAAGAGGAAAAATGCTACTTTCCTCTTCCTTCGTCCATTAACGGTCATCGTGCATGCATGCGTGCGTGCTCTCTCGTTCGCTCATTTAGTTGCTACATGTATACTTACGTGATGTCGTCCCGTTAAAACGATCGAAAAAAAGAGATGATCGATCGATTTTCGACGATTTAGTTCTAACGAAAAATAAAAAAAAAAAAGAAAAAAGAAAAAAGAAAATTTAATTGCACTAATAATGATTTTATTATGACAAATGTGGCTCTTTTAATTGAATGGAAGAAAAAAAGAACATACGAATTAATTATCTTTGAATATTATAATAATCTAAGTCAAAAATATTAATCCTTGTATAGGAATGTATTGACACAATAATATGTTTAATATATTTTTATTCATAGATATTTTTTTTTTTTTTTTTTTTTTTTTAATAACACGAATTAGAAAATATCTTAGAAAGGAATTACGAAATAAAAATGAAAATTTATATTTGATGATCCAATAATTGTAATTTGCTTGCGCGAACGAATCGCGCAAACAAATAATGACTGAAGAATGTGGAGAAATTAAAAATATTATTTAAGTTATATATATTTAGATATATCACATTGAATTTTCTAACTATATAGGAATCCTATTAAGAACGTTCCATTGACCGACTATTTGCTGTATTCGAGTAGAAGGTACGACCCATAAATCGCGTTTGTTAGACGTGAGACAGTCACGAGCATCTACAAAGATGTTCCAAGTAAATAGTTAAGTACTTGGATACTCGTTAGATACTTATAGATACAATATAAACGTATTAGATCGAACATGAGCATATAAAGATTATCTGTTTGTGTTCTTACAAGGCCTTTGCCCATATCTACTAGTTACTTTGTTATTTATTAATAATTAGTAGCTTAATTATTAATAATTAGTAACTTAAAATTTGATCCTTAGAAATTCAATATATTTTAATGAATCGATAAAAATTTTAATTTCACGTTAGGATTTAGGATTGATAATAATTTATTAGAAATTAATTTTTTTTTTTATCATCGATCAAGAGAATAATAAATCGTGCATTTATTTGTTCTTATTTATCGTACGATCAAACTTTTCATGGATCTCTTTCATTTATTTTATACATTTCAAATAATTACCTTAATTGTAGTAATTAAATTAAATTTTATTTAACGTTATATGAGAAAGTGTTAAAATAATTTATGATTGATAGATATATCCTTTTTTTCGAGCCTCTTTCATTTCGAAACTTCAGAATTTTTTTATTCCCGAAGAAAACGTGCGCAAGGTCAGAAACGACATGTTCTAATTAACTGAGGAATCAGAGCGTCCATTTAATCACGTTGTATTAAATTTTTCGATTCAGTTGGGCTAACCACAAAAATTTATTTAGGTTCATTTTTTATCTATCAAAAAATCTTTTTATTCGGCAGTCTTTCGTATGTCGTTTAATAATAAAATTTATTTACATCTAAAGATATTCAATTAAGATTAATCAATCTAGATTAACTGATTAGATAAATCTTAGAATTTTTTCATATCACAAATAAAGTGATACATGAATTAAAAAAAAAAATATATATATATATAATATATATATATATATATAATATATATATATATATAATATATATATATATATATATATATATATATATATATATATATATTAAGGTTTGGAAATTTATAAAATGTTTCTCTTTATAAAATATAATATTGAATGGAATTAAATCAAAAGCCATCCTATTTATAAAACATAATAATAATTATATCATATTTTCATATTACTTTTAACAACGCAATAGTTTTAACGCAATAATGACATTGAACAAATTAATTATTATCAACAAATAAAATGAAAAACTATTTTCCTAATGATATTTTTATTACGTATCGTTGTATCATGTCCTTCGTTCGATATAATTTGTTCTGTTTTGTTTTGCAAGTTCGCCTAAACATCTATGATATAGATTTCAATGAAACGGAGGATCGAAGTGAGAGAAGATATCTGTTTGGTGAAAAGCGTGGAAATTCGTTATAAAACAAGTCTGACTGGCGAGTAAGAAGAGCGAGTATAACTCTAATCGAGTTGGTGAGTCGGACAAGTATCCTGTTTACGAAGCTGAAACGCCGATCGATTCCGGATGCGTATCGTGAAAGCAGCCTTCGAGAGGAGGCAGAACTCCGCACGCACTCTTAGTGGATTTGCTGTGGCGCGGCGTGGTTCGCATACCACATGGTGAAATGTCTATTATCGTCTATTGTTCCGTAAATATGGCGACCTTCGAGTCTCTTGGTGAAATCATTCGATCGTGAGTCGCTTACAAATCGATATATAATCCTAATGTTTTCTTTCAAACGGTATATCAATCCGTTTACAAACATAATTTTTTTTCTTCTTTAGATTTGATTTTAAAAGGGCATGAAAAATAATAATAAGGAAGATACATTTAAGAAAATTAAAGAGGGGTGTCTTTTGCATTTATAGGATCAATCTTCGAACGCAATAAACTTTACGTATCCAATGGATTGAATTTAAATAGAAATTGAAGTGACCAGAAGGAGGATCGTCAAATTACATCGTTCGATCTATATACAAGGTATATCGATTTAATCGATTTCAATCCTATCATTTCATCGTCATCAAAATCGAATCGATATTTGACAGTGGCATATACGTACATTTCAAAATCATACAAATTTATTAATATTTCGTAAACAATTTAACAATGTATCGTAACGTATGAATCGTTGAAATAAATTAATAATGTCGATGAGAAAAATTTATTGAATTAAAAAAAAATCGATTGATTTCTATTAATACTTTTCCATATATATTATATATTTCTATTTATATTTTTCTATTGAAAATATTGCCGGGAGCATAATAATAGTTTGAAAGGTTACGTAGAATGTGTAATTAACGGCGTAAGTTTCATTAAGCCGTAAAAGCACCGACACAGTAAGCGACTACTACTCTCGAATCTTTCGACTTGAGCTCGAATAGAGAATGCGGTCTTCCTGAACTGACTGACTATTAGTCCGTTGTTAATGTTCTCTGTCTGTCTGTCTGTCTGTCTGTCTGTTTGTCTGTATGTCTTTCTCTTTCTCTCTCTCTCTCTTTCCCCCCTCTCTCTTTCTCTTTCTCTTTCTCTTTCTCTTTACGTATCACGTTCATCGCACCGCATGAATAATTATTTTAGCGTTCGAAAAGAAAAAGAAAAAAATAGAAAAGATCCTTTGGTTTTGGCATCTCCGTTACTCGATGCCACCATCGTTTAGACTTTGGCTTTGATTGATTTCAAAAATGAGGACAAACGTAAATAGATAGATGCTGAGATTAATTTATTCATTACTATTCGTTATAAAGAAAATGGACAAGCAAATTAGACGAATCGAAAGTTTATCACTTGTTGTTATTTTATTTATCGACAAATAAATTATTATATACGTACAATTTCAAAACGAAGTTAATCTTTCGATATGCAATTTGATTGGATTTGTAAAATATAATATTAATATGTCCTAAGTAGGTATACGATTCATAGATAAATATTATATTCCATTCAGTTTCTTTAATTTTTCTCATATTCTTAATATAATTTCTTTTCTATGATACGAGAAAAATCGTTTGAAAAAGAAATTATTTCTCTTTTAAAAAATATTACGTAGGTATGCAATAATTTTCTTTCCTCCTTACGACTTCTTTTTTTTCTTTTTTTTCTCTCTCTCTCTCTCTCTCTCTCTCTCACTTAACAAAATATATGCGTCTTATGATATACGTGTCCTTCCTTGTAATTAATTAAACGAGATAAATACATTATTGATGATTCAAATTAAGTGGAACACATAGTTTCATATTCTTAACGATAAATATATTTTCGAATTTATCTACTTTTTATTAATGTCAAAATTTTCGATAATTCACGAAACGAATTAATCTTCGATGAAATATCAAAAGTCGATTGAATTTTGTTGTAATCTTTCTCTGTTGGGGAAAACCAAGAGTTTGTTAGCACAATGTCCTCCTTTTGTCGAAGATCAAAAAAGAAAATAAAGAAAAAAGAAATAGAAAAAGAAAAAAAGATTGCGTCAGTAAGAGAAACCCAAAAAGCGGGCGAAAACGATAACGTGACTCATTGTTCGCGACATGTTCAACATACGGGGATATATATGTGAACATATATGTACACCTATGTATCATAACAATGAGAAAGCCGAAGAGAATAGAAAATTTGTGCGTGGGCGGTGAAAGTGAGCGCGACGGGAGTGACTTAACGACCTCGTCATCGCATCGATATTATTAGAAAGTTGAAAATAGAGCGACTTTTGTCACGAACGATTTTTTATGATATACTTTTTCGAAAGTAAACATTCTTTCGATTCTTGATCCACACTTTCGATTTTTTCTGTTTCTGTTTTTTTTTTCTTTTTTTCTTTTATGAATCATACAATATCACTGTATAATATTCTTTTCTTTCTTTTATCTTTTTTCTTCTTCATAAACACGATAAAAAGTTCATTTGTGAAGGTTCAAACTTAAACGTATCGATTTACATTGTCCAATTTGAATTTTATCGAAATAATTTGCATTACTTTTATTTTTAAAGATCTTTGTTACACGAGTAATATCAAAGAAAAAAAAAAAAGAAAAAAAAAAGTATCAGTGACATCTTTCTTTTTTTTTTCCTTTTCTTTTTTTCAGAAGATACAAGATCTATCCTTCGTCATCAGTCATCATTGAAGTCAATCATATCTCTTTCGTGATCCCATGTACGATATCCTTTTAGTTAGATCCTTTTCTCTTTTCTTTTTAATATTATTTTTACTTTACATCGATCGATTGATCGATCGATCGTCAAAGAAATTGATTAGACGCGCATAGAGAATCACTAAAGGACTCTTCGTTATATCGAAAAAGATATTCCCTATATTTCAACTGGATCGATCCAATTTTGCTTTTATAATAAAGGAAATCAATTTTCAACACTAAAGCATATACTTACGTAGTACAGAGCCTCTGTATGAAAAGAACGGAAGTAACGCTTATCAAGGACTCGATCCTCGAGGATCAATTTTTTACTTTGTCATCGTGATTCGATTATTCGCGATAATTTTGTACGCTTTTCTACTTCGATGAGCTATTTTAAATGGACGACTTATAGCTCTCTCTCTCTCTCTCTCTCTCTCTTCTTCTTGACAATGAAATTTATCGTTAGATTGAAAGGCGAGTGAATTGAATTAACTTTGATTTTATATATATATATATAGTATGTATATAGATCCTTTGTTTCGAAAGGAATCATAAAATTTTTTTTTAAAAGAATACCCGATAAAAAGTACTTGTTCGATAAAATAAATGATCGAAAAGTGATTCGATAATAATCATTTCATAATACGAGTGCAAACGATCAATCAATTTTTCGATTTGTAAATGAGAAAGCTATCATGTAAATGAGAATATAATATCATCGAATACGTGAAAAATGTATACGCGTGTATAATCTTTGGTGCAATTTTATCGCGTATTTACGTTATGGAACGTTGAAATATTCGTATTCGTTGCGAGTATAACGGTGAATGTAAACATTGTTAATTAGGTATTCATTTTTCGAGTACCTTTCGAGTATTTAAATTAAGTATACATTTTGAGTATCTTACCACAGTATTTTTCTTTACATGAAAAGTAACGAAATACTTTTTCCTTTTCTTTTTTTCCTTTTATCTCGTTAAGATAGTGTAATTTTTGGAATTGATCGTTGCAATTGAATTTTTCATCACATTCCTTTTTGTTAATTAATTTGAAATGTATCAAAGAAGATTTGTTATTTATTTTTTCTTTGTTCTTTTCTTTTTTTTCTTTTTTTTTTTCTAATCGTAAAACGTAACGTTTAAAGAATTCAGATGAATTTAGATATTTTCTCGTGTGATTTATTTTGAAAATAAACTCAAGAATGGATCGATTGATCGATCTAATAGATCGTCAAGGTCGTCAGTCGTTTTCCATTATGGGAAGTTGAAATGTCAAATGAGAAGTCAAAGAAGGAAATTGGCGGACTACTCAAAATATCAAACTACTTTCTAGCGTTCACGAGTCCCGCATGAGATGTACCGTTAAACGGGAGAGCGTTGAGAACAACTCGAGAGCATTAACGTAAAAGACAGACACACACCTTCGCATTTCACTTACCATTTACTGATTGCTATTTAAGTAACTATTATTCCAAATGATATATCCTTCTTTTTTTTTCTTTTTTTTTGAACGAGAATAATAAGTGGAATATAAAGTTTAGAAATAATGATTCAATATAATAATATTAATATACAAAGGGATTGGATTTCTTCAAAATAATTTTATTTAAACGTATCGCAATTTAATTAATTATTTTTAATGCAGATCTATATTATCTGTAATATACACGTGTATATGTATATATATATATATATATAAAAGAAAGAAGAAAAAAAAAAAGAAAAAGAATTTATTTCAAAGAAATTTTTTCTTTCCTCAGTAAAAATTATTATATTATGTTAAATGTTGTTTATTAAGAATGAAAGTCGTATCGAAAAAAATTTGTTTTCGTTCGAGTAATTTTTTTCTTTTTTCTTTTTCTTTTTTTTTTTTTTTATTTAAATAATTTAAAAAATTCATACACTTTTATTTATTAATATATTAGTGTTAAGTCTACGAAAAGGATCGTTTTATCTTCTTTTTTTTTTGCATCATTCTTTGGAATCCTTTTTGAAGGAGCGTTTACTTCTATCGATTCGATTCATGGTCGAGGTTAAAACCGCTCATCGAGCCAAGCTATTAGCATATAGGCACACTGACATACTAAGATCGTCTATCTATTCCCTTTTTTTTGTGCTTCCTTGTTTATTTGTCACTTATATTTCGATGAATTTTTAATCGATCCAGATATTGAATTATTTTTTACGGAATTCGAACGATCTTTCAGTTTTTTTTTCTCTCTTTTTTTTTCTTTTTTTTTTTTTTTTTTCGTGAATCAAAAACATCTTTCAATTCATATTGGATTAAATTATCTTAAAAATTTCATAAACATAAACGTTATATGTTAATTATGATTCAATGATTTATATAATTAATATATATATATATTTTTGTTTGTAAAACATTGATTTACAGAGAAGAAAGATCTACAATTATTGTGTATTAATAAGACAATAATCGTTAGATTTCATATATATTATTATATATTATTATAAAATTCATGATCAAATTTATTTGTAGCAGAGAAAGAGAGAGAGATACAGAGAGAGAGAGAGAGAGAGAGAGAGAGAGAGAGAGAGAGAAAAAGGGAATGATACGACTCTTAGTAGTTCTATCAAATTAAACGAATTGAAAAGATATTTTTAAGACGATAGTGATTTGTAAAAGGGTCGGACGTCGACTTTTAGTATTCTCGTTAGTCGTTGAAATCTCGTTTCCGTAATGGAGTTTCTGACGTGCCGTAGATTCTTCGTTGTCGTCTTTCGTGCGAATCTTTCTTCGTAGACGAGAAAATCACAGAGAATTCGTCGTTGACGTTGAGTTTTCGAAGAGCTTTACAACTCGTAGATGGTGGCAGTACGAATGGTTCTTGAGAAAGTGTTGTTAACGTTTTGAACGAAACGCGGGTGTTGCGTTGCGTTGCCTCGCGTCGATGAAATTTCAAGAGATTGGAACGTTAGCGATCGCAATAGGAAAGCAAAACTTTCACTCCGTTTCAGAGTTGACGGTCTCACGAAGCGTGCTCGATTTTATTTTCGTTGGTCTTACTCCGCGAATTCGTCTTCTTTCGTTCCTCGTTTCTGAAAAAAAAAGAAAAGAAAAGAAAAGAAAAGAAAAGAAAAGAAAAAAAAAAGAAGAAAATCTTATATACGTAAAGTATAGAACAAAAAGATAACATCTTATCGTGTGTTACTAATTAATCTAAAAAAAAAAAAAGAAAATAATAATAATCGTACATGTATCTATCTCGTAATTTTCAATTTTGAAAGAATTCAAATAAAATGTAATAATCCTAAAATTATTGTATTAAGAATAGATAGATAGACGATTCGGTTAAGTTACAGTTTCATTCATATCATTTTATAATATAAATTTAGCATAAATCGATAACGAGAAGGATTTAGAATAATTAAATATTATTTAGTTTATATTACGTTAATATTTTTAATATTATTAATATTAAAGTTTACTTGAGACGAATTGATTTCAATGTCAAGTGTAATATGCGACGAAGATTTAAATAGGCATTCGCAATAATTACATTTTGTGGTTTATTGAACAGGTTAAAGAGAAAGAAGAAAGAGAAATAAAAGAAGATGTAAAAGAGAAAGAGAAAGAGGAGGAGGAAGAGTAGGAGAAGAAGAATAAGAAGAAGAAGAAGAAAGGGCGTTCGATCACACGGCACGTTCGACACAAGCAATCGAGAAAGGGAGAAAGAAGAAAGCTTGCTATTCAGTGACCCAAAATTATCGCACGTATATGCATACTTCCTTGCAATTAAACACCCACTTTGTTCGATTGTCTGCGAAGGCCTCTTTTCATGTTACTTTATGAACATACGCATACATGGATATACCTATGTCTTATATATTCTAACTACGTATTTTGAACGATAGATTGTAATCGTAATTATTCGAGAAAGTTATCTTGATGATCTTTAAAATCATGACATATTTATGACAAATATATATATTCGTTTATATTCGTTTTATAATAAAATTTAATCATTGTTTATTTTATAATAACGTTTGAAAGTTATTATATCATTAATAACTTTGTTAATTTTAATTAAATAATGCCATTAATGATATTACAGTGAATGCAGAATTACAATTTTTTTAATCAAATTCTAATTAACAATTATTATCAACAATAGTTATTAATTTTAATTATTAATTAAAATATTATTAATAATTATTATTAACTATAAATAATTATATTATTATAATTATTATTATTATTTATTTATGTTTCAATTACAAGTCAATAACGTTTTACTTTTTCGTAATCTCGGATAGATTGAAAATTCGTTTAATATTCGATTGTTATAAATTAAATTTAGACGGGTGTTACGTTAGATCGAGAATTGAAATATTTGCAAGGCATCGTTCGCAATTTGTAATGTTAATTTCTTGGGTGAGGTACACGTAGCAGTAAGACGTCTCGAATCGGCTTTGACGTTCTCGTCGTTGTCGTGAAAAGTGTGCCAAAACTAAATCTTACGTTCGACTTAAACGTCGTCTTTGACATAGGCTCTCCGACACGTAAGTACGTCAACTTTGTGAGACATCGAATTACTATGATTCGGTATTTCGATAGAGAAATCGGTCGGCCGATCGATCCGTTGATCGATCGATCGTTTAATTGATCGAATTCTTAAACGTAGATACTTAGCTCGGTGTCATGAAAGTTTTATATCAGACATCTTGTCAGAAATTCGGATATATCGTAGAAAAAAAAACATAGAATTTATATTTTCTATGCTTTTCGTTAATAACAATTGATTTTTCTCTTTTTCAATTTTTACGATCGAAAATCGAGTTAAATTTTATCGCATGAACGCACAGTCACATTTTAGAATTTTTTTTTATTTCATTTTCAATATCTCCGTAGAATGAAAAGTTATTAATATATTCAAGAAAAAAAAAAAAAATTTCTCTTGCCTACTTCATTTGTAATATTTTGTAAAATGCGCGCGTATCAATTTTATGAGAAATTTATTTTATTTTTCAAAAATTAATGACGATTTAATTGTGAAAGATAGAGATTCTGTCTTCTTGTATATTCAAAATAATAATCAAAGATTAGAATATTTTTAAATAAATACGTAAACATTTTGATTGATAAAATTGGACCGATCAGAGGAGAATCGAATGTTTGAAAGATAATCATTTCATCGTGATGATTTCATTTTCTCTTTCTCTCTTCTTCATTCTTCCGTTTCGCGATTACTTCTGTAAGAAGTATTCGGAACTGGTCCAGTACCAAGAATACCGGATCTTCGTGAGCGAAGTAAGAAACGCGATCACATCGCAGGTGAAAGTCACGAGGAATCTCAGAAAATCGGTTTCTCGAGATTATATCTAATAGATGATTCCGGTTATCGGGAATGGAGGATAACGAGGCGTTGTACAAGCTAAGAACGACTCAGTGCTCGCGTTGTCTTTCCAAGAGGAACGAAAGAGAGACCAATGGGAGAAAATTTGTTCAAAATCGATCGCATCTTTGCTTTCCTTTTATCTCATTGGAATGGAATAACTCGTAAACCAGAATTTTCATACGCATGTACATATATGTACATATATATATATATATATATATATATATATATATATATGTACATATATGTACATATATATATATATATATATATATATATATATATATATATAACTATACTATATTATTAATGGTTAATATGTCAAATATTATTGCAAAAAATATTTAATATATATATATATATATATAATACTACTTATTAATAATATTTATATTTATGATCAATTTTAATAAATGTATATATATCAAGTATATAAGAAAAAATTTCGTTTATTTTTTTAAATAAAAGAAAATAATAAATAAATAAATAAATATATATATCATTAATTAATATTCAATTAACGATTTAGTTTTATTAAGATATAAATTTAAAAATTTCTTTTCGATAAAATAACTCTTCCTTGAATCGATTCGGTAAATAAAACTTTTCGAGATAGGCTTGATATATATATATATATATATATATATACATATGTACATTGGGGGAATACTCCTTGTTCGTATGTAGGTATCTAGATAACAAAGCGAGATCCGTGTGAAAGCTGCTGGTGCATGGGGCTCTCGTGAATGGCCGCTGACGTCAAAGCTCGTGGAAAAATTGCGCAATTTCACCATTCCGATGGACGCCGCGGAATTTGTTCGGGCAGCTTTCTTCCTGCATCGCATCCGCGTTAGGAAAGATCGAGGTGATCGACCGTTTCGATGAGAAAATAGAACAATGATAATGATATATGACTAAACGCATATATGCGTGCATATATATCCACATATGTATATGTATATATGTAGATTTTATTTCATTAAATTTTTAAGTTAGATACTTTCTATCAATTTCTAATATATTTCAATGACTAATAAAGATCTAACAGTCACTTAGAAAATAATTGTTAATAATATTTAATATTATTGATATTTATTAATATAAAATAATTAAAACGTATGATTGATTATAATTATTCTTTGGAATAATAGTTTAATATTATATACTCTTTAACGATAATTTTGTAATATTATTTAAGTATTATTAATAATATTGATAAGTATAGATAATAATGATTAATTTTAATTGATCTTTTTATCTTGATATCTTTTCAGTTTTATTTTACTGATCAGTTAAAATTAATAATTATTAATTAATATATATCGATAGGAATATTAACCATGATCGATACTATAATTTCGCATAATGGAAATAGCGAGCCGTTAATCTATGTGCGAGCTGGTTCACTCTATTAAAATTGATAACAACGGATTCTTGATATGCTTCGATAATCTTGATATTACATATGAAATTCTCAAAGGCAGAGGACGGTCAAGCGTATGACATTCTCAAAACTTATTAAGTCGAAGTTCTAGTTTGAGAAGGATCGAACGTAGACGGTGGAACGCAAGTTATTTCGTTGAAAATCTACTTACATATGCAGGTATATTGAATGAACGTGATCATAGTATGCGTACTTATTATATCTATGCACATATTCAATAGATATATACATACATAAATATAGAATGTAGGAAAGGGTAGAATGATTATCGTCGTCTATTATTTATTCATTTATTTATTTATTTATTTTTTTTTTCATAACTAAATGTTAAGAATTTTTATTCATTATTTTGTACGTATGACAAAGTATACTTGATCTTTTCTTATTTTTCTTTCTTTTTTTTTTTTTCGTTACATTCCTCATTATAGTTAAAATATTTTTCACGGATGACGATTACTTTACATTGAACCGATATTGAAAAAAAATAATTATAAAATGAAGTAATTTATTAATCGATCCTAATTATTTTAATTTACTATGTATTAAATATTATTTGTCCTTTTTTTTTTTGTTCTTTCTTCTTCCTCTTTTTTGAACGTGTCATTTATTTCATTTTAGTATGATTTTAATTATTTCCATGGTTAGAAACTTATGCACGAGCTTATGCATGATTTCGTCGGCGCTCGACAAACGAGATACTTTTTCTGTAGGGAGCGAAAGGCCCCAAACTTTCTTTTTTCTTAATCATCCTCGAGAGAGCTACGATATGGGACGTAAACGGAGCGAGGTTGAATCACGACGAGTCCACTTGCGCCCCCGTGTATGTTTCCCTCTCTCTCTCTCTCTCTCTCTCTCTCGTTTTCTTTCTCTCCCCCTCTCCTCTTTTTCTCTCTCTCTCTTTCTTTCATGAATGCCGGAAGTCGAGCGTGCTCCGGATACAAGCGAAAGTCCTCGATACGCGTTATAAATCGAGATACAGATGCACTCGAATTTTCAAGTTTCTTCTTTATAACTTATCTCGCAATATTATATATGTATATTCAATATATTATTTCTTTGGAATTTATTTATTATCCTAATATATGTATATATTAGGATAATAAATAAATATATATATATATATACATTATATAATTGTTAACGAATTGTTAACGAATTAATAAATAATAATTTATATATCGATATCGAAGAAAAATATTATATATTAGATCAAGATTATCACGATTGTCATAATGTAGATCGGCAAGTTTTATCAGTTATTATAATTTGATCGATAACAAATTTCATACAGTCAATTAGCGCATTGTATGTTAAATACTATATTAAAGAGGAAAGGAGAAGGATATTTCTTATATGAATGACAATTGCGACAGATATATGGATGTAATTTTTGTTGTTTTTTTTTTCTTTTTTCTTTTTTTTTTCTTTCAAAAGAGGATTTGAAGAGACAAAAGGAGAGAATAAACGAATGAGAAGGAGGAGTAATATGGCGGAGGGATTTTGGTGAAAGCAGACGACCCCGAAGAGGGGAGAGTATATAGGTTGCGTTTCGTTTCCAACGTTCACATAAGATCACGAACGCACTCATCAAACTCGCCGGCGTGTTCTTTATCACGTGATTCTTTGACTGAAGTATCTACATAAAAACGCGTTTCACTCTTTCCGTAGATCTTTTTATATATATATATATATATATATATATATATATATATCTATATATATGTATAAATACGTTTTTATATTGGAAAGAATATAGAAGACGCTAAAAGAAGATAATATTTATTAAGTGCCAAGTGTGTGTGTGTCTCGTCTAAAATAGGATTACAATAGAGGGACTTATTATCAATTGACACGATAAGGAGCTTCACGTCGAACGAACGAAACGAAACGAAACGAAACGAAAGGTTTGTGTCGAAATTTGTGCCGAATACGAAAGTGAATATATTCGTTGATCAGTGTGAACGAGTGCGCTTATTACACATTATCTCGTTTTTTTTTTTTTCTTTTCTTTTTATTTCATCTATTTCCTTTCTTATCTCTTTCCTTTTATCAATCAATCACAATCATCCATCATCATTATTATCATTATTATTTTTCGACGATATGAGGTGTTATTTATTTTTTCAAATATCGATTAAATATATTATCGGATAAATGATAGAAAGTAGAAAAGATTTGGGTATTATTGAAAAATATCGAAGATTTTTATGTTCGTTCGTTTTTATTTCTTTTCCTTTTTTTTTTTATTTCATCCGTTGATCCCTCCCCTCTCTCTTTCTCTCGTGAGTACCC